AAGTGTATTAAAAACTCTTTTCCTTTTTTGCTCCTCCAGGCCTTCCAATAGCACTGAAGTGAGTGGTACAGTGTATATTACATTTTCTGTTTGAAATACACAGAGCGGTCTCTTGGATCTACATGTTCTGACTAAGGGAGAAACACCGAAACACCGCATTGCCTATGACAGCACTGTTCTGAGTTGGACTCAACCTTTTATATTATTGGAAAGTAGCCTTGAGGATGCTGTATCACTTCTCACTATGTGCAGGTGATTGGCCTGCCACTGTGTTAAAAGTACTTTAGGGGCACAAGAGAGTATTTCTCCAAACAGATGCGACTAACAGATGAGTCTAAGGTACACTTTAACTTTTTTTTTTTAGATTTTATTTATTTATTTTTAGAGAGAGGGGAAGGAAGGAAGAGGGAGAAAGAAATATCAATGTGCCAGAGAAACACTGATTAGTTGCCTCTCACATGCTCTCAACTGGGGGCCTGGCCCACAACCCAGGCTTGTGCCCTGAATGGGAACTGAACCAGTGACCTTTTGGTTTGCAGTCCAGCTCTCAATCCACTGAGCTGCACCATCGAAGGCCACATTTCTTAACATAAGACTTAATGGGAGGGAATTTACAGTATTAAGTTAATAAAATATTCTCTCCAATGCAACTGCCACACTCTTTGAAGAAGCTAAATCGTTCATGGATCTGAAAAGCTGCTGCGATTGTAGGATTCCTTTTCCCAGAAGTCATGTGTGGTTATACTAATATGTTTTGTTCTTATGTTAAGATGGGGTAAGAGTAATAGGAAAATTCATTTTTAGAGGCTTAATAAGCAAAACGTATATAAATAACACACACACAAAATTCCAAACTTCATGGACTCTAATTTTGTTTAGAAAAACAGCTCCATAAAGCATTTCAAACCAAAACCACAGCAGTGAAAGGGAGTTTACTCTAGTTTTTAAGATTATTAAAGCATTTGAGAACGATAAAAACTAATCTCTCTTTCTTACTAAATACAAGCAGAAGTCTCATTTTCCAAAATCATATTCTATGACCAGGCACCAATGGCCGTGCAGAATCTGATCATACCCAACATATGTCACCTCTTCGACACCAGGCAGCTCATCATCGACTTCACAGACACAAAAGCAACACTTCCACTGTTAGTGTGAGTATAAGCTTTCAGGTTAAAGCAGAATACATTCATAGCAGGCCTCAGAGTTGGATCACATTACCTGTTTAGTTAACTCTGTAGAGACACCAGTTTAAACACAAAACACCCACAGACATTTGACAATGTTTTTTGATCAATGTACAAATAGAACTATTCTTACTTTTAGAATTTGCCATATGACTTTCAATCACAACTTTCTAATCTCGAGCTGTTCTGCCTGTGGAGTAGCCTGCTCTGTCTCACTGCTTCACTAATAAACTCACTTTCACTTAAAAAAAAAAAAGTATAATCTTTATATACTAAGCAAAAGGCTTTTGTGATATTGGGAGTAACCTGGTGTAGATATAAGTTTACTAAAGTGCAAAATGAGTCTAGGTAGTACTGCCCTAAAAAAGAAATCTTAAAACACTTTTGTCTGTGTAGAAAGAGTACTGACCATGGTTCTACAATGTTTATACAAAGAAACCATTAATACAAGTGCACAAATTATACATGTAAAAGGAAAGGTGAGAAAGAGAGAAGCAATTACTACACAATAACAAATAAGTTAATTCCTTCTCCCAGTCAAGAAGACAGTGTACAGAAAGTATAGCAATCAGCCAATGTCCCCAACCCCTTTTTAACTTCTGCAGAATTAGGTATTCTGCTCCCAAATGTGCAACTGTAAGGACAAATGCAATCTTAACTTATCATGATTAAACAACAATCATGTTTAGAAGCCTACTAAAATTGAAATACATATTTTTATACATTTCATATTTAACACACGAGCATTAAAGAGAAAATAAAGACTAAGACTTCTCAATCTGTTACAGTTTAAAAAGTATTTTCATATACAACATCTCATTTATTCCTCTGAAGAAGGCTTGAGGATTCACACTTAATAAGGAAAGAAACCATGGCTTCCAGGGATAGATGACATGCTCAAGGGATGAATGTGGAACAAGAAGCCCAAGCTCTTAGTTTAACAAATACATTTTCACTCCCTCCTTTAATTGAAGGACCGGGTTAACAGGTTACCTTATGATTGGTTCCCAATGTAACACCATACATGATTTGCTTTGATAAAAAGAAATGGAGTTGACACTTATTCACTGAGCATGTACCTTCTAAACCAAACGAAACTATTCCATTTTCACAAGCATCAAAAAAATGCTAATGAATTTGCAGTCACTACAAAGTTAATGTACTTTTTCAATGTTTAAAAACCTAAAAATCCATCCATTGTTAGCCAAAAATAATTTTTAACAGAAGTCATTTTGATTTAACATGACTCTTTCTTTAAAAATTTAAGACCACATATACCCCTAACAAAAAAATGTAATTATTAACTTCTATTAATTTTGACTTAAATGCCTAATGTAAAAAAGGAACTGCAATTTTAGTAGTTTCCCGATGATCAATGAACGCTGAAATAAGACAACTTTTTATTAATAATGCCCTCTACTGGCAGTTCTAGAGAGTCTAATATACCTCTTCAAAGGAGATTGGATTGGTTTCTCTAAGTATGGTCCCCTACCACCTGCACACAAATCCCCTGGAAAGCCGTTGAAATTACAATTTCCTCCCTTCACAAAATAATCTACAGACAATTGTGATTTCAATAATTTTAGAGTAAGATCTAGAATTCTGCATTTTAACAAGTTCCCCAGTAAGTAAGGGGAAAATCACTGATGTGGTTTGTTATGCCAACTCTTGACTTTTGAAGGACTGTAACTTTCTGAAAAGCTCTGGAAAGGCATCGTTACACCTTTTATAAAGACTGAGGCTCGAGACAATTCACCCTGAGTCACTTGCTAACAAATAGCAGAACCACTAATAATTTCTTATTTCTGGAGGTACATGTCCTTAAAGGAAAGAAAAAGAAAACTGTATCAGCCTTAAAATCCAAGTATTAATTGCTTTAGATGGAACTACAGAGGCCAGTGATGCTCCTCCTGGCTCCAGGTAAGAATCACCTGGGGAACTGGTAACAATGCTTGAGCTCAGGCCTCGCTCACAGAAAGCCAGGTTGAACTGTCTTGGGGTGGGGCCCCGGCATTGTACTTTTTACAAAGCTCCCAGGTTGGCCTCCAGGGCTGAGCATCACGTACGCCAGTGGAGCTGAGTCTCTGAGCACACAGAACTACCTGCAGGACACAGACTGCTGGGCGCCCAGCCCAGAGTTGGTGATCAGCAGGTATGGTAGGGTTTGAGAATTACATTTTTAACAAGTTCCAGGTGGTGATAATGGTGCTGGTTCTGGGGCCACACTTTGAGAACCACCGGTTAAGCATATTGTTTAGTGGTTCTCAAACCATGCCTACACATCAGAATTGCCTGGAGCAATTTTTAAAATTCTGACAGTCAGGCACACCTGCGGACTAATTACATCAAAGTCTCGGGGGCAGGAGACCCAGCCATCGATATGTTTAAAGCTCCTCAAATTAAAAAGGTTTGTAGAGCAAAGGTTTATAAAACCCATTATTATGTTAACAGACATCTAGTGATTTTCCAAGAGGAAAGTGTGGTATTCAGTATTTCCAAAGCTTTTTGGACCAGCAACACTTCTGTCAAGGGATATAATTAGCAGCCATGAAGGTGTGAAATACCAGCCTATAGGGTAGAGTGGAACAGCTCTGAGTCACCTATAAGACGTTCCCCTCCAACCTTGATCCAGCCTCATCTTATGCTAAATCCTTCCTCTCTCCACTGCATAGGTCCCTTTTAAAGTATTAATAACTCTCTACTGTAATTATCTGTTTTAACATGACTGTACTATTTCTACAAGCTCACCGGAGTCAGAGGTCGCATTTATTTATCTTTGTTTCCCCAGAGCCTTGTATGATGCCAAATGTAGGTGGCACTCAATCATTTGTTGAATAACTGAATACAGATTGATGTTCCAGTAGCTAAAGAAAAGGTTGCATCAAATATGGCTTTTGTGTGACCTAGAAAGTGCAAGTTTTTACATAGCTGAAATCAGAATTGAATATTTCTCCCTCATAGAGCTACTCTTATTTAATATTGCTTTAAATTTAAAAAAAGGAATTTTTTTTTTAGAGATGCACTTAGAGATGATATTCAACTTGCCCTGGGATCTACCACATATTCAATTCATTAGTAATTTACCGGTGCAAAATGCTTTGGTAATTTTTTTATTGTACTTGTCAGTTAGCCAACTGTGATCTAAAAAGAGGTACAAATGCTTTGCATATTAACAATGAGATAGATTCCAAAAACCCTTAAAGAGGGGAAAAACCTCAAAACTACAATTGTTTTGAAAATCTAAGTTCTTCAAACTTGGACATACTTAAATCAGTTTTTTAAAAATAAAGAATGATATTCTTCTGTCAGCAAGCTAATTCAGGTCAAACAATTCCGGTATATCCAAAAATATTGCAAGATTAAGTTTAGTATTTTCTTTTACTGCTACAAGAGAAGACATGTCACTTCATGCTCTAAAGGTGCTTGGTCCATGCTATAACTTTCTGGCATTACGTTTTCTATATGCTTCACAAATATTTAAATAATCACATATGTATAAGTCCCAAAACATCATAAGACTATATTGTTTTATATATTATGGTATATTATATGTATGTTGTTATATATATAGGGTGGGGCACAAGTAGGTTTACAGTTGTTCATATGGAAAATAATACAATAATTAATAAATAATCATACAAGAATAAATTCTGTGTTTTGCGTACTCAAAACTGCAAATGTAATTTTGCCCCATCCTGTATGTAATTCTGTATTAGTTCATAAAACTTGCTGGAAGATGCTCAAAACTTTCAAAAAGCTGATAAGCTAGAAGAAAGAGAAAAATAATAAAACTTAAAATTAATTCATATTTACCTCTGAATTCCCTCAAGAATATTCTTCACAGCTGCCATTAACTTTTGAAGATAGATAAATGCTTCTTCAAATGATGCTATTTTTGAGGAAGTCAGAGATGAATTTGAGCCCAATCTTTGAAACACATCTGTGCTGAAATAGAGAAAAACAAAAGATACTCATGGGTATACATGCATATTTACTATAATTCAAGTATTTACATTTCTATTGAATAAAATAACATTCATAACTGGTCTTTTATAATGCTGATCTATTTACTGCTTTCTTCTAAGAGTTTTATAGTTTTAGCTCTCATACTTAGGTCATCTATCCATTTGGAGTTAATTTCGGTGGGCAGCATTAGGTCAGGGACCAACTTCATTCTTTTGCACATGACTGTTGAGTTGTCCCAGCCCTATGTATTGAAAATGCCATTCTTTTCCTAGTGAATGTTTCTGGCATCCTTGTCAAAATCAACTGACCACAGTGTATATTTCTGTACTTTCAATTCTATTCCACTGATTTATTTGTCTCTATTTATGACAGCAGCACGCTCTTTTGAATACTGTAGGAAGTTTTGAAATTGAGAAATATAAGTCCTCCAACTTTCTTACTAAGTTTTCCAATCCATAAACACTAGATTTTCCCATTTATTTAGATCTTCTTTAATTTCCTTCAGAAACATTTTGTAGTTTTCAGAGTAAAAATCTTGCACCTTCTTGGTTAAATTTATTCCTAAGTGTTTTATTCTCTTTGATGATAATGTTAGTAGAATTTTTCATTTCCTTTCTGGATTGATCATAGCTAGTGCATGGAAATAAAACTTGTTTTGTGCATTTATTATTTTAGAAATAAAAATCGTATACTTATTTTATTAAAATGTATTTCTTTTAAAATTTTATACATTTCAAAGTCTAGTCATCATATAAAATAAGAAAAATTCAGGAATGTAGATAAGAAATATGTAATAGCCATAGTCCACCAACTACAGATAAGCACTGTTAATATTCATGGGTATTAATCATTAATACCTTACACTTACGTAAATTCCTCATAAATAGCAAAGACACAATACTGTGAGCTGGCGCTCTGTCAGTTCACAGCTGACCACTGAATCAGGAGAACGCAGGGCAAGGAGAGGGCGCTGGCGCTGCAAGGGCTCCACAGCTCCAGGCGGGCAGGGGACCTAACCACTTCAAATGCGCATCTCTAAGGGAAGGGTCAGGCATGGATACCTGAAAAGTTCTACAGTGACCCAGGCACACAATCACGCAGGAGAAACACTGAAGGAGACTTAATAACTTTGCACTGATAAAGCAATATGAACATTTTTCACTTACTGAAATACTATTATATAATGTAAAGTCTATTATCCAGAAATTACCCAGAACTCTGAAATACCCAACATTAATGTATATATAAGTCAGCTCTACAGTACATAAAGTTCTCAAATGTTTTCTAAATGAAAGGAAGATTAAAACATCTTAGATGTGTTTTAATCTATTTTTTTAAAAGTGATAATATCTGCCTGGTATATATGGTAACTTTCTGCTAACCAGAATACGTGATTAGCCAAAATGTTAAACATCCATTAAGACAGGACAAAACCAACAATAGAACCTTTCCTTTATATTAAAATACAAATTTTGAAGTATTATTTTCTTTAGCTCACATGTCAGGTACAGACATTTCTTTAGTATGACAGACTATAAATTTTTTTGAAAAAAAATTTCTAATTATAGAAATACTTAAGGACTAAAAATGGGCTGCAAATCCAGCATTCTAACAGATGGCTGATTGAGAATAGGGGTTTAAATGGACTGCTAAGATTGTTGTGTTGCTCTTGCGAACACCTAGAATAGAGATGATCTTAATCCAGAACGGCAGTCATACTGGTCTCTTTAACCAAAATCATACCATAAAGTGTATACTAGTATGGCTGGCAAATTAATTATATAAAGATTATGGGCCTAGGGAAAAGCATGCAAGGGAGTGTTGGCCTAGTTAAAATCCATGGCTTTCAATTATTTTTTAAGAGACGCTAGCAGCAGCCTATTAAAAGAATTACTCACAAATGGTCTCTATCTTTTCATTTTACCAAGACTATAGTATTTTACGTGTATGAAAGTAATAAAAGTGTTTTTTCCTTTTAAGTAAAAGTATCTTCCTTTTTAAAAAACCTTACATGAATTTTCCCTAACTCCAACTGACCTCTCCATAAATTATTTTAAATGTTATTAATGCCTGGTACCCTGCTCATTTGTTCAGCCAATCTAGGTGACTGTTCTTTAGTTTCACATATATAGGCAAAGCTTCTCATCAAGGTTTCACAGCTGAATCCCCTGGAGAGATATTTTCAGTTCTTTTTATACACTATCTCAGCCACACCTCAGTCCTACTGAGTAAGAATTTCTACAGATACAGCCCAGGCATGTATGTTCTTCTTAAAAACTCTCCAGGTATTTCTGATATATACGCCTATTTAAGCATCACTGTTTTGAAGGTACTGATTTGACAAACAACCCTCAATAAGATAACCTTCATACACTAAACTCACAACCCAAACACACTGTTTAGTGAATAAAAGCAATGATGAAAAAATAAAAAATTCTCAGAAATTTAGTACCTGTTCTCATATATTGTAACCCAAACACTCTCTAAGACAGACCAAATTTCTTGATGCTTGTTGGGCTGGGGGAGATGAGAACCTGTGAAAACGGTGGTTTCTTGGTTGTTAGATTTCACTGGAGAATCATCTTCTTGCTTTTTACTTGCTGTATTTTCTGAAGGATTCTGATTGAGTTTTGTCTTGATCTGGGGAAATAAGTACTGTATTAGATAAAATGCAGCTGGTCCTTCACTATTAAGTGAGAGAAAAACAATGCCAATTGTGCTTCCAAATGTTCTAGCTTTCAGGGAAGTGCTGACTATTCTCTGACCTTGATTACATACAGAATATTCCTAGGAAATTATCACAGCTAAAAAAAAAAACCAAAAACCCAAAAAACTTTCCTTTCCCATTTACATAAAACATATTTCCAATCTATTTATTACAGTGACCTTTCTTAGCTAACACGCTAATATCAATTTAAAAATACTCTTTGAACTCTTCTACACATATGGTATTGAACCAAAGACAGGACACCTAGGATACATTGAAAGCTTCTCAAGAAATGACACACTCAGAACTGCACTCTAAGACAAACTGAAACAGAAGAAAGTGAAAGCAAGAAATTGGTTCAAAGGCTACTGAAATAATCCAGAAGAGGGGTCCTGAAAACATGAATTAAGTAGGAAAATGCAGTTAAGTAGACTTAAAAGAGAAAAAGGTACACACGAACTATTTTTAAAACCTTGGCCAAAGACTAAATTTAAGGACCCTATGATTTTTTTAACCTAGGTGCTAGAAAAATAATAATACAAATAAGAGAAATTTAGGGTGTCTATAAAGTCTAACAATGCCACCTCCTTGATTACTTCTCCAAACAAATATAACGACAGCTTTATTCAGTAAAAGTGGAACACAAATACATCCAAGCAACACATCTCAGAAACACATGCATGCACTGATGGAAATGTTCACTTTCATGTGCCACAATCACTGCCGCTTTAAACAGCACATTAAACCATGCAATGCTGACAAGGGACAGACAATACATGGGCCATATCATGTGTTATAATATAATAGCAATAAACCATTTAATGTATGTTTATCTGTGTTTCTGGATTTTATGGCCACCATTAGTAAAGCAAGAAAGACTGGTTGTACATGAGGGTAAAGGAGACAAACATTACAAGTAGATGAGATTGTTAGGAGAGAATATAGCAAAAAAGGTAAAGAAACAAACTAAAGAATGAAAGGTGGAAACTGGCAAAAAGAAAAAGAGAGACCAACAAGGTAAGGGAAGAATCAGAAGTATTTATTAGCAATAAAAGTCAAAAGAAACGTTTCAGGAGAGAAACGGTGGAGAACACCAAGTGCTGAAGGCAGACTGAGAAAGAGCGAGAAAAGCATGGATTCAATCATTGGAAAGCAAATAACAACCTAACTCTTTCAATAGAGTGTGGAGGCAGAATTCTACTCATAAAGGGTTAAGGAACAAGTGAGTGAAGAAATGGTAACAATGGTAATAGATTGCTCTTTTAAGAAGTTTGGTATTTGATGGAAGGTGATAGTACAGTTAATGGTATAGCCAGAAAAGTATTTAGGAATCTTTAGTTACTAGAGTAAAAGATTCAAGTGATTTTTGTAAAAACAATTACCTTGGGGGGAAATATCAACTTAGGCAAAAAAATAAAAAATAAAAAAAAATTGAAAGAATAGAAAAAAAATTTTAACTATAAGTTTAAAAAATTGGGTTTTTGGTCTTGGCTCTACTCTAACTTCTCTGTGAACTTATATAAAATGATTCTCTTTCTAGCCCTGGCCAGGTGGCTCAGTTGGTTGGAGCATCATCCAGTACACCAAAAGGCTGCAGGTTCGCTTCCAGGTCAGGGCACATAACTAGGTTGCAGGTTTGAGCCCAGGTCAGGGCGCAGGTGCACAGGAGGCAATCAATCGATGTTTCTCACATCAATGTTTCTCTCTCTGTGTCTCTCTCACTCTTTTCCCCTTTCTCTAAAATCAGTGAACATATCCTCAAATGAGGATAAAAAAAAATCACTCTTTCTCTAGATTTCCTTGCTGATAAAAGTGTAATTTCCAATGTGAGTTTCATGCTCACAAAATCGAAAATAAAGAAAACTCCAATACTATTAGTAATAACTGCTAATATTTACTGAGCATTTATTATGCACTGGAACTTTCTAAGAACTTTTCATCTACTAGTTCAGTTACTCTTCACAACTGCTGTATGAAACAGATACCATGATTACCCACACTTTATAGCTGAGGTATTTTCTAGGTAATTCATGCATAGTCACACAGAAGACAAGTGGGATTAACAGGATTTACCTTCAGTAATTTGACTATGAATGGGGTTATGATCTCTCTCCAATTGTAAAAGTTACCCTATTCTATCTTTTGGCCCAAGAAGAAAAGGAAATTCTTCTTCCTATTTTTTCCTGCTTACATTATTATGAACTTAATACACATGGATGGAAATACATTATTTGCTCTGAGATAAAACTTTTTAATCACCACATCATAATGCTTTTTTAAAAAACTGTCTATCCTATTACACTTGTTCCCATTTCTTCTCCCTCTCCCCACCCGCACTCACCCCTCTCCTCCCTCAGTCAACCCCCATATCGTTGTCCTGTCCATGGGTCACGTATAAATGTTCTTTGGTCAGCTCCTTCACTGTCTTTCCTTTCTTTAATTGTTACCGTTTTCTACTGTAATGTTTTCCCCTTACCACTCAGTCCCCTGCACGCTCCCCGCTGCGGCACCAGCTTTCACGGGGCGCCCCCGCGCCCCTGCAGCAGCTGCCAGTCCGGCCCCTGCAGCCATGCTTCTGCTCTCACTTTGTTCCTCAGTTCACTGTGTTTATTACACACAACGCTTTTCGTCCTCAGCTCTCAAACAGCAGAGGTACAACTGTGCAAGCGGATTTCTTTATCACATGTGTATCACTTACGTGCTAGGCACTAAGTACTTAACGAATATTAATTTATAACTTCTTATATCAGTTCTGAGGCAGAGATTTTTATTATACTCATGTTACAAAAGAAAGAATTAAGGCTTGGAGAGGTTTGACAACCACAGGTTAAAACACAACTAGTCAGGATGAGAATCCTGAGGCACTTGAGTCTAAAGTTTTTCAACAAAACTGATTTTCATTATTCTATCATCCTAGTAGAGCAAATCTTACTATTATTATTTTTTTGGAAATAAAAAAATATTTTATGGTGGTTGGAAAGCTTATAAAAGGTAAATGTACATATTCTTCTCCTGTTCCCACCTTGCTCATATAAAAATCTGGAAAATGATAACGTTAGTTAACTTTCCATTTTGGTTTCTCAGAAGCTTTTTTTGAAACAAACAAATAATAAATATACTTCTTTTCCTGATTTTCCACACTTGGTAAGTTAAGATTACGGGTTTGGTTTTTTGTTTTTTGGTTGTTTTTTTTTACAGTTATTATATTTAGATATGCTATCCCAGGGGGTAATCTATTTCTTTTTTTTTGCTCAAGTTACTGAGGCATTACTGAGTATTTAGGTCATGTATCAAATCTGATGCACTTAACAAAACCACTCCCACTAAAAGTGAATTTTAAAAGCCCAAGCTAAATCACAGTTTCTGGCTAACTTAGACAATGAATTTGCAATCACTCTAACACCAAATGTTGAGGGAAGGCACCACTGAGGATGCCACATTCTTTACCACTTGCCTTCATGAATCTTTTGCTAATGTAGCAACTAGAAAATCAGGACCCAGGAATGAATAACTTACTAAATAACAACTCAATATCTTTAAAACACTCAGTGGGCAATATATAATAGGCATACCATTATCTGGTAAATGACACTAAGGTTTAACATCACATTTTCATGGCACTTCCCATCTCTACATTTCCAACTGATGAAAGGACCTTAAACCTTGATGTTCATTATTAGTATTTAGGGGTAAAGGGGAATCACATCTGCAACATGCTCTCCAAGAGTTGAGGGGAAAAAAAAGTGCAAGTTAAGTAGATAGGTAGGTAGCAACAAAAGGAAAACAATAAAGTAAATGTGATAAAATGTTACCACTGGGGAATCTGGGTAAAGGATATATATGGGAATTCTATGAATTACTCTCGCAAATGTTTTTTAAGTTTGATATTATTTCAAAATAAGTAAAACAAGAACAACATTTCTGAACACCACTCCCAGAAATCAGATTCAGTAAGGTCTGAGAGGGACGTGGCACCTGCATGTTAAAAAAAAAATCCAAAGTACTTTGATGCATGTTGTGGTCCACTGGTCTACAGTCCTAGGAAGTGAGTATTCAAACAGTGTGCAGCTTTCTACTATACAATAAATAAAATAATTAAAATCCCAACAACTGCTGTGACACCCCTTCCATAGGAGAATGTGTTTTATAATTTGTCATAAGAACTGCTACTCAACATTCATTTAATGACTTTAATATGTTAGAATAAGTTTACCTATTATCCTTTACCTATATGTGGTCTGCTAAATCCATTTATAATGTATGTGATAGCTACCCTAAATGGCACCCCAAAGGTGTCTTACCTCTGCAAGTGTTCGAAGCAGTGTGTTTACTTGAGCAAAGGCCTGTGGAAGAACACCGTCATAATTTGACCTGGTACTGAAAGCATGTAACAGGCTTTGAGAATCCTGGAGCAGGAATTTCACTGTTGCAAAATCCACTGCACTGTTAGCTGGCAACAGAATATTAAGAAGGAAAAAAATTGTATAAGAATGAGTAGACAACTCAAAAATATCTCTGGCAAACCAATCTAATATTAATTATGGGATTTAAGAAGAGTACACAGTTACACCTACAAGCCACGTCTAATTTATCTTTCTGGTATAAAAAGCAACAATTAAACTGACTTAGTTACAGACAAAGTTCTTGGAATTCTGTAGTATTCAAATTCCAGGAGTTCCCTTGACACAGCCAGTGCAAAGACATTCTCTTCAGAAAAAACAGAGACTCACCAAACAAATGAGTGAAAAGTACAGAGTTTCAAAACTGAGGTTAAGCTTCACATGCAGATTACTATGGAGGCATCAGAAGAGTTGCATTTTGGCGTTAAGAGCCTAAGTTACCTGTGGTACCTCTCATAGTCAACTCAGTTATGAAGCAGTGATTTAGATTTATCTCCAAATTCCATTTCATTACATGAAATGTAACACTACATTTACTGAAAATAACCCATTTTCTCTGTACGACACATTTAGCAAAACATAAAGAATTTAGGTAACAGTGAGTTGGGGGCAAGAGAAGCTAGGAAATCTTTTCCCCCCTGCACATTAGCAAAGTGAGTTCATCTACAAGTAATTTAAAGGTATAATTCTCTCAAGGAACTAAAATTACATTAAATTCTCAAACCAATTAGGAGAGGTGGTAACAATAATTTCAAAGATTGTTAAAGTTAGGAACAATGAAGTTAAATAACTGTCTAATGTCACCAAAACTCAAAATAAAAAAAGAATTTTTTCTATTATTAGGATAGAATGCTACTAACAATTTTCAAAGGCCTACAAAACAGCCATACTACAATGTGTTTTTGTTTCACGTTCACAGTTTCAGAGGCTGTTATATTCCACAACACCAGCATGGGTTTCCACTGGTACTCTGAGTTAAAAATAAATAAATAAAGAATTCCCCTGTATCACTTATATAGCAAGTACCTGCTTGTGAAATATGGAAAGGTCAAATGAAAATTAAAAATAAATTTTAATAATTGATTATACAATATTCAGAAATTCTACTCTAATGTGATGGTTACAGCCAAGCTTCTGGCTTTCCTTTTACTGAACAAATAGTACATTTCTTACAAAATACTTTTAGTTATTTTTAAAGTCAATGACTAGCTTAAATTAGGTGAGAGAGATGCTACACAGAGGACAGAAAAGAAATTCGAGGAACTTCTGATCTCCAGAGGAGGAGAAATTGGGCACGGCTTTTTCAAGGGCACTTCTCCACTGTAGCCTATGTTCATTAGGGCTTATACCCTTGAAATAATCACTTTATTTCTATCTTGAAAAAATTCTTTATGAAGATTATGAGCAAAAGGGAAATAACAATAATAAATTCCTTACTTAGACACAACATAAAAAGAAAGCTATGTGACTGAAATAATTTAATGCTTTTATAACAATAATTATATAAGATAAAGTTAATATAGAAAACAAAGTCAGAAAAAGCTACTGCTCATTTTCCCCACAATTTTCTATGAACTGATCTAAGGATTCCTGCTTGGTATACTAAAGGTATACACATATGTACAATTCAATAGCAAGAATACTATTAAAGAGAGTAAACAAAATCACAATCTATGATTCTTCTAATTCAAAATTATCTTAGAGCAGATGGCACTTTTACAATCCTATTTACTATTCTTCAGAAGTCAGGGATATTAGGCATCAGATTCTTCTAGACCAAGGATCAATAAATACTGCACATAATGATACCAAAAACAGTTTTTTGGGAGAAGAAACAGTCCCCATCTCCGCACTCCCTTCTATTGGCAATCAGAGCTGCTGCCTACGACCTGTGAGTTGCACACAAGAGCAAAACACTGCCCACCCCTGGGGAAAAAAAAGACAAATGGAGAGTGGTAACTCAATACACTTTTTTTTAAACTAAATCTTGTTCACCATCATACACAGTTTGTGGACTTTATCTTTTGATAGAAACTACTAAATTATGCCCTTAGTAAAATTTATGAAAAAATGTTTCTATGTATCTTGTAAAACTGCTTTGAAGACATGTCCAATATGTTGTTCTATGTCTCTTATATAATAATACCCCTAATAGATAACTTTTATAGTTTAAGACAGTGCCTGGAAAGTATCTTTTTAAAAAATGGTAATTGTGAAACACAGATATTCATCCAACATCTATCTACCTTGTATAAGTTATAAGGCACTGACCAGGCGTTTGAAATCCTCTGGGCTTTTGCTTTGCTTTTTAGAGGCCCAGCAAGACAAAGCCGACTGCCTGACTTTGGATAAATCACTTACCCTCTCAGGGCGAGTTTCCTTGACCACAAAACATGGGCTTTAAGAACATTAGATAAGTGTTTTTCACATCTTTGTCTTCTGATCAGAGAAACAAGTTTTCTAAATCCTACATGGCCTCTCCATGTATAAACAGGTAAAGGAATGCTGCTTGGCTAAAGTGGGGGTTGAAGGCCAGAGGCCAGCCCTTGCCAGGCTCCCGCCAACCTTTGCCCCTCCAACTGGTGGCAGCTCCGGAGGCACTTCAAAAAGCCTGAGGCCTGTGCAACATAGTTTAAAAACCACCCGCTAAGTGCTTGGCCACAGTCTCTTCTGGTTCCAAAATTCACTATGCATCAAAGCCAAAGACTTCCTATTCCTTATTCATATTTTAGATAGAAACCTGGATACACTATTTTTAAAATTAGCACATGAAATGTGGTCAAAATTGTGTTAAACACAGTTAGAAATAAAAAAAGTCTAAATAATTCATACACTTGAATAAACTACAAAATGTGGTGTAAAAAGTTTCCAAACATTATTAAAATTATATATTCACAATATGAAGGAACATCAACAGTGACATCATTAGAAGTCACAAGCTCTGTGAGCTGTAACCCTTCACCCACCTGCCACAAATTCACTTTAGAAATGAGAAGTATAAACAGTTAAGCACTAACTGATAAAATTTTTATTTATCTTCACATTTCATGGACTATATCTGCTAGTCTCACTTTAATAAAACACAGCTAAAAAAAATAATCAAAGATTCATACCTTTACAGAGATTTTCATATAAGCTCTCAACAGTTAAAAGCAAGTTCTTTTCCATAATTAACCCAAATACAGCCAACCAATGTTTTTTAAAGCATTGTATTAAATGCATTAGAGTCCATGGTGGTTTCAAGTACAGCATCTAAAAAGTATTTAGAAAAAAATTAGTATCTACTGATTTATTAATTATTCCTATTATTAAGAAAAAAGTACAGTTTACCCTTGAACAACATGGGTTAGAACCGTGCAGGTCAATTATATGTGGAGTTTTTCAATAAATACACATAGTACTGTAAATGTACTTTCTTTTCCTTATGACGTTAATAACATTTTCTTTTCCCTAGCTTTATTGTAAGAATATAATATATAATACATATAATAAATGACATAATACAGATTACATGTAAATTGACTGATCATGTTGTCAGTAAGGCTTCTGGTCAACAGTGGGCTATTAATAGTTAAGTTTTAGGGGAGTCAAAAGTTCTATGTGGATTTTCAGCTGCATGGGTAGTCAGTACCCGAAAACCCAAGTTGTTCAAAGGTCAACTATACCTATTTAGGAATGCCTACATATATTTCTGAGAAAAATATAGTTAGTTGAATTTGTTTTATTAAAAGTTAATCATAATATTAAAATGCTTCCATTGCAAATTCCTTTGTAAAATTGATATTAGTATTAATCCTTATATAGAGTTTCAGAAACTACACGTACAGAAAGTAAGCATAGTTCTAATCAAAAGGAACACATTTTAATTAGTAAAGATCATCAGTCTACTTTTCAACATGGTCATTTCTACAAAAAAATCTAATTTCATATAACTGGTGGAAAACTCTATATAGAAAAAAGTTGTCAATTATAACTGACATGTGCTATACTTTTACAAAGACATGTTTATAAAGATTGATCATTTGGCACTACAGAATGTCAGCTTGTCCTTTTTGGAATCATTCTCATAAAATTACTGTCTTAGACTCTATCATGAAATATCCAATTTACATCAACCCTCCTAGAAGCTTCTGATCATTTTTCCTCATCTTGATAAACACAATCAAGAAAACATACTATAGGCAAATATTAGTATCTCACTGAGTATCTGGAATAGATACAATCTACAATTAATGGGGATTAATGTTTCTCCTACAGATAAATGTGAAAAGTGAACAAATATTACACTAAGAAGGCCACCATTGCAAAATGTGGTGTTTTACCGATTTTAGAAAAGATATGAATCTAAAGGAAATTCAAAATATCTTGCTAATATGATCAAACTTATACTCTGATTCTTATGTGACATAAACTTAAACATACCTTTCTTTTTCCAAATGCATCTTGTTAGGGTAATTCCCTATACTAGACATTTGCACTCAAACTAAGTAGGAGAGTTTTTCTGAATTCAATTTAAGCTTCATGAGGGCAAAGTATGTGACACATGGCAGATGCACAATAAGTATCCATTCACTATAAAAAATGACTAATAAAATATAGTCCTCATCTTCCGGAAATGTCTATCATTTAATTTTCAAAATATTATTTCAAAAACCACAGGAAAAGATATAATGTGACACATAGATTATTACAATAAAGCTTACACATATTTCATAAAATAAGGTAACCAATCTTCAGCAATAAAAAAGAACTTTTCAACTAGTAGAGTTGAAATAATCACCTCCATCCAAAGGTTTCCAAAAGCAATTTTCATTTCTGTTTCTAATATTGAAGATAAAGCTGTTCCAAGAGATTTTTCAAGATCAGATACTATGCCTTCGAGTAGAATGAGTTGTCCAGAATTTGTAGATTTTTCCTCATTACTATCTCCCAAAGGTATTGCTTCTTTAAAACAATTATAAGCTTTATTTAGGACACTAATAGTAAACATTTTACATATGTAATTAGTATTTGGCCATAAATAATAAACATCTTATGTATATAATTGGTATTTTAATTGCCTAGAAAACAAACCAATACTTTATTTTAAAAACAATATTTAGAAACATGTATCTCTAGTATAGTTTTAAATGCAACATAAACATATTACATTAGCAAATACTTTATCTTTTTGAACAAAAGGCAACTAAATAATTTCACTAAAATAAAAACTAAGAAATGTGTGTGATATTTTAACTACCATTTTAATTTTATTATTTTCAAAAAGAATAGAAATCATGAGAATGCTTTGACCTGTATAAAATAGAAAATTAAGAACTATGTATCAAATGAGTTTTCTGCCAAAACTATTAATAGTATAGTCTTCCAACTGAAACTCACATCAATAAATTGTTTTAAAAGGTCCAAATTCTAACTTAACTACTTTTATGCCCAACCCTTTTAAAATAAATTTTTATTATTTTAATTGGTATCATTTCATTAACATTACTATTTTGATATCTGAAAACAACTATAATTTCTTTATGGTAAAATTCAAAATATTAACTGGTTTATATCTACTAAGGATTTAAAATGACGGTAACATAATGAGCAAACAAACCATGCTACCCCTGAAAAACTACAAACTAGAATATCCTGTGGCTCCTTCTAAATGCCCTTTTGAATATTATGACAAAAGAAATTTATTACTATAAAGGTCAAATGAGTATCAAGTGTACATATGAATTTTTATACAATTATATATGAAAGTACATACAATATTAGAGACTTCAATAATTATTTTCCCCACAGAGGGAAAAGTGGTATGTGTTTTTAAATTATGTCGGACTTAATAATACTCCATCAAATATCAAGCTCTATTATAGAACAGATTATTCTAGAAAAAAAGATTATTCTGGTGAAAAAAAGCCTTTTGCTTTCTTAACCATTAATTTAAAATTTAAAGAGAACTAGCACTAGAGTCTCTCAAGTTTTTCTACTGAGTTTTTATAATAATAACAGATTATGAATATGAGGCTAATTTTAAAGGAAACTAAAAATTTCTCTCTACTTCAAATGAATATGTCCTATAGCCACCATTAATTTAAAAGGTATACTTTGTGAAGTACAAAATAGTATGCATACAATGATTATAAATATGTCAAACTATATGTAAGTAAACAAAAATTATATTACCATTATAATTTTCTTTTATTTCTACCATTTATGTGTGAGCAAATATTCCAAACGTTATTTTAAATGTACACGATAAAAATTTGCTATTACTATTATTATCAATAATCTCAGTGTATAAAAGAAGATACATTTCTAATTATTCGTAGTAAGAATTATTACCTGCTTTCAATTGTTGCTGAGATCCATAAGGCTGATGAAACAAAGCTATGTTCGGAGACAAGCTGAAGAACTCTGCACTCAGTTCGTCTTTGCTGAGTGACTTCACACCACTTATTAGGCCTTTATTTCTTAAATTTCTATCATCCCTAAGGTTGATTTAGAAGGAAAAACAACTTTATTTTTTAGAAGATAAATCATATGGCAACTCAAAATACATAGGATCTAATCAGAGGTTTGTAATTCTCAGCATATATATTTGTAATTCTCAGCAAATATATAACAAAATAGGACAGCTTTTTAAAAATGGAGAAGCCAAAGGAGTTAACACACAATAGAATCACATGAAATAATCTTCAGAGAATACTAATAATTATTACTTATTGAGTGTTTCCCTGGTACCAAGCACTATATGTGTCTATCATTCCATTTAATTCTCACAACAAACCTCTTACGTAGAAATGGAACTAATGTTATCCATTGTTTCACAGATGAGAAACAGGTGTAAAGAAGATAAGTAACTTGTCCAGAGTTATATATGGTAAGTGGGAGGTAGATTTGAACTAAGGAATATGATCCTCCAAAGAGAAATAAACAGAGAGAACCATAGTTAGAGAATAATTTACACAGGGTAGGCAATTACAATTTTCTCAAAGTGAGCACAAGACAAATGATATGAATCTGCTATTTGTTGAAAGAAGTCAGTATGATTAGATCATAGTACAGGGTCCGGGAAAAGTAACTAACACCTGCTTGAGTGTGGTTGGTAAAGGTAATAATATGGGTGTAACAATTTATAGTTTTAATTAGAACATTTCACCTAAAATGGCATATGGTGTGCTTGAGTGTGACAGTGTTATGTTGCAGAATTACACGCTTATGATTTTGTAATAGAAGATTGTGTATAAAAAGGGGCATTATTTGTGCCAGACCCTGTACCTGAGACTAGTTAATGTGGCTGCCAAGAAAGGCAAGGGCACTATCGAATGGAAAGACTTTTAAGGGCTTCCATGGGGAAGTGGAATGATCAGATCTGTGTTTATTAAATCATTCTGGAGTTCAGCAGGTTTCTAGCCTAGTAGGTTGGTCAGACTAACTCTCCAAAACTTGAGAATTAAAAAGATCTGAACCCCTCCCCCATCAAAAAAGGAAAACATTTGATGGCACAACCGACACAAAAACTGCACTGATAAAAGATGCAAGTTTTCATCTTTTTGCCTGAGGGCATTCCTCAATTCATCAATGTCTTCAGAGAGAAAGCCATAGCCTTAATGGCTTGACAAGTCTGGAAGACAATGTTCAGGACTGGCCAGAGCAGACAGAAAGTTAAGAGGGAAAATGAAGAAGGGAGGTTTGATCATATTAGCAGATCACAGAGCAGGTAAGCCATAAAATCTGCATGTAAATTCTGCCTGGAACAAAACAGCATACTGGTAAGGGACAAAGCAATCAACAGAACGAGACTCAGATCTGACACAGAGGTTGAAACTATCTGAGAGAGAATTTAAATTTTGATTCATATGTTAAAGGCTCTAATGGAAAAGGTAAATAGTATACAAAATCACATGGGCAGTTTCAGCACAGATGAAAATCATAAGTAAAAACACAATAATAGAGATGGAGAACACCTTCAACAGGCTCCTCAGTAGACTAGACATAGGTGAGGGAAGAAACAAAAAAAACTTGAAGACAGGTCAAAAGAAATTACCCAAATTGAAACAAAAAGAGAATAAAAGGTTAAAAAATACCAAAGGAACTATGGGACAATATGAAACAGTCTAACTAACATACACACATGTATTAGTTATCTATTGCTATGTAACAAATTATTCCAAAATTTAGCAGCTTAAAATAACCATTTATTATCTTACATGGTTCCTGAAACTGGGAGCAGCTGGACTGGATGGTCTGGCTCAGGGTCTCTTACAAGGCTGGAGCATGCAGCCACCTCAAAGTTGAACTGGCATTCAGACATGTGGTTTTTGGAATGCCTTTGCCCCTCACTGGTTCTTGGCTGGAGGCTTTATTTTCTCACAATGTGGGCCTCTCCTTAGGGCTACTCAGAATATGGCAGTTTGCTTCCTCACAGTAAGTGGTCTGTAACTTCTAATGAACCCTGTTCGCCACACAGACACCCAATCCTGGTACAGTGTAGGAGGGGACTACCCAAGGACATTAATATTAGAAAGGCAGGAATCATCGTGATCATCTTGGATGCTGGCTACTACAATGTAATTCTGTAATACCAGAAGGGAAAAAGAGGGAATAGGACAGAAGAAATAATGACTGAGAATTTTCCAAAACCAAAGACAGACACCAAACCATAGATCCAAGAAGCTCAGAGAACATCAAGCAGGATATTTGCTCTCCCCTAATCACCCCACCACTCCCCACACCCACCCATCTGGGTATGTCTGCTAAAAACTGCTGAAACAAACTGCTAAGAAAGCAAAAAACAAACCTTGAAAGCAATGATAGGAAAAAAAGACACATTACGTACAGAAGAACAAAGACAACATTTACAGCAGACTGCTCACCAGAAACCATATAAGCTGGAAAAAAATGGAGTGACATCTTTAAAATACCAGAAAAAGTCAACCCAAATATCTTTCAAAAATAATTAAAAAATAAAAACATTAGAAGACAAAACTCACAAATTCATTGTTAAGAGACTTACACATGTCTAGGAAAGTTGTTTAGGCAGAAGGAATAGGACACCAAAGAGAAACCTGAACCTACTAAAAGAAATGAAGAGTGCTCAAAATGGAATGCAAGATTAAAATATTCATTTTTTCTCATTTTAAATTCTCCAAACAGTAAATGAGTGAGGCAAAAAAAAAAACAACTGCCAAGTATTATGTGTTTATCATTTATGTAAAGGTAAAATCTATGACAACAGCACAAAGAACAGGAGGAAGAAACTGGGAGGATACTACCGTCAGATCCTTATACTACCTTTGAATAAATGTAATATTATTTGAAGGTAGGCTTTGATCAAGTAAAGATGGATACTGTAAACACTAAGGTAACAAAAAAGTTCTTTTCAAGAAGATATAAATTAAGGCAATAATGGAAAAAGAATGATACCATAAAAAGTACAATTTACCAAAGAAAGAAAAACAGGTGAAACAAATAGAAAATAATTAGCAAAATTATAGGTTCTAATCCAACCAATTAAATATGAATGGTATAAATTCATTAAAAGACAGACATTGTCAGATTGGACAAAAATGAAAGCGCCAACTATATGTTGTCTACAAAATACTTAAATATGAAGACACAAGTTGGTTAAAAGTAAAAGGATGAAAAAAGATATACCATATAAATACTGCCCAAACAAAACTGGAGAAATAATATTAATGCTTCACAAACGAGACTTCAGAACCAGAAATACTATCAAGGAAAAAGACATTATATAATTTTCCAATAAGACCATCCTAAACAATCCTAAATGTGTATGCATGATGTCATAACACATAAAGGAAAATAAAACTGAAGGAAATAGATAAATCCACAGTAATAGCTGGACATTTCAGTACTCCTCTCTCAGTAATCATAGAATAAGTAGGTAATCAGTAAGGTTTTATAGAAGACCTGAACAACACTACCAACCAACTTGACCTAATTGAAATTTAAAGAATATTCTACCCACAAAAGCAGAATATACAGTGCACATAAGGTAGACCATAAGACAAACTTTAACAAATGTAAAAGAATAAAAATTACATAAAGTATGTTCTCAAGTCTTAATTGAATTAAACTTTACAAATCAATAACAAAAAGATAACTGGAAAATTTGTAAATATTTAGAATTAAGAAACAATGACCTATGGATCAAAGGGGAGGTCATAATAAAAATTATAAAGAATATTTAACTGAATGAAAATAAAAATACAACATATAAAATGTGTGGAATGCAATTGAAACAGTACTTAAAGGAAAATTTACAGCAGTCTCAAATTAATGATCCAAGCTTCCACCTTAAGAAACTAGAAAAAAGCAAAAATACTTATTTGGCAAGTTAATAGAAGTGTTCTTTATATAGAGAGGGATGTGTGCTACACTATCCCTCTGTTATCAACACCATATAGTTAAAATATGTGCATTTCCTATATGTACATTTTCCCTCAAAATACAAAGAACTATATAAAATAATCATATAGGAGGACAGAGAATGGATGGAGGTATAGACAGATAAACTAATTTTGATAATTGCCGAAGCTGGGTACTTCGGAGTTTTTACTAACTCTTCTTCCCCTTGAATATTGTTGGAATTCTCCATAATGAAATGTTTTAAAAATTAAAAATAAAAAAAACATTGTAACTTTTTGAAGAGTAAACAAAGGAGAGAGCAAGTGTGGAAGTAGAAGGAAATAGCCTTAGAATAGAAAAGGAAGAAAAGAGAAAAAAAAGGCTTGACATGCAATTGTGAAAAGGGTGATAAAGAAAAGAAGACCATACAGGACCCACTCATTAACTAGACAGAAAATATGAGGAAAATGAAAAGCAGGTACCAAAATGATCCCTAGGTTTCTGGCTTTCAAAGCAAATGATTATAAGGTGGAAACCTTTGATCAGATGGAGTACAGTTTAGAAGGAAAGATCACGAGTTTGTTTTCAAAAATGGTACTTTTCTGATGTCTAATAGATACCAAAGCAGAGATACCTAATAAGTAGATAGACATACTAGACTAGAGTTCAGAAGAGAGATATGGACTAGAGGTATCAACTAGGGGTTGCTGGCCCATATTTGGAATTGTTAATGTAAGTAAAGCATTTAAAATGGTGTATAGTATACAGTGCTATAGATGGTTCTCCTATTACTATCATTACCAACTAATATCATGATCATCATTCATTTAGGTAATATCAATGTATCCTTACAATAAATAAGAGTGACTCACACAGCAGGCATGATTACTACCTTTATAGGGAAAAAAAATAAAAATAAAAAAACAGGTTCATCTAGAAAATGATAATGTGAGGAAAAAAAGGTTTGATTACAAATTTTCATTTCACTAAAAAATGTCATATTTATTAATCACAAAAGAATAACTGCAGAAATAATAAAGAATTAAGTCTCACCAATTTAATCTTCATTCTAAGTTGAACTAAAAAAATAACAATTACACAAGACTTATGTCTCAAATGTAGCTGATCTGAAATTTAAAATGATTAGCATATTACTAACTCTATTTCAGTCTTCAACACTGAGATGATATGTTCTAGATTAAAAAAAAAAATTTAAAACCTAGAGATAGAAATGCCCAGTGTTCCCTCTAACACCAAAAAGAAGAACATTACCCCTGAAGACAGCTAAAATGAAAAACTGACCAAGGCCCCTTAACAAGAAAAATCTTAGGGCTGCGCATCTCCACTATCACTCCATCTCACAGAGAATTCAGGCATGATCAGAAAACTGTGAAAACTCTATTTTGCAGTGATTAAAACTCAGACTAAAACTGCTCTTCTCGGTTCCTTTAGAGCCTTTTTACTCTCTCTTTTTTAAATTTGTATAAAAGTTTATTTGAGCCAGAGGATCACCTGGAAGCAAAATCTCAACAGGCTGAGGTAAGGTCTTCCCAGAGCCTCTTCTCACGCATAATGAACGCAATTGTGGTTAGCACAGGGCAGTTTCACCTTAGAACTAAGTTATAAAAATACTAGTTGGAAATGGAGGAAGAGAAGAAAGAGGAAGAGAGAAGGAGAAAAAAAGTCTGAAATCATACTGTGTATGAGGCACTAAGTCCTTCATATATATTATCTGATTAAATACAATAACCCCGTGAGGCAGCTGTTACTATTCTCTCCATATTTTACACAAGAGGAAACTAAGTTAGGCACCTTTTCAAAGTCACAAAGCTGGTAAGTGGTAGACACAGAACTCCAATCCAGGTGCCAAGGACACAACTAGCTCATAAATGGCCCCTTGGCCAGATGCTAATTAACTAAACTTCTTGCCTCACAACCCAAAAATGTCATTTATTTCTGAACTATTTTCATTGGGATAGTAAACTCATATTTCCTTGGTGTTCAAGTTTTCTGAATGTTATATAAGTAAAATTGAACTAAAACTTATCTACTTGAGATTCAAACCCCATTCTTCTGTAACTTACACATAAGAATGTAGAATAGAGCAACACAGTGAATGCAGTTAATAATACTGTATTGCATCTTTTAAAATTGTGATGAGATTAAATCTTAAAAGTCCTCATCACAAGAAAAAATATTTTTGTAACTATGTATGGTGATGGATGTGCTAACTAGGCCTAATTGGGTAATCATCTAATAATACAAAAAAAAAAAATCAGATCTTTATGTTACATACCTAAAACTAATATGCTGTGTCAATTATACCTAAAAAAAAAAAAAAAAAGGGAGGGAGCATTTCAGATCTTGGTCCCTTTTATATGTCATCAGTTTGGCTCAAATAAACTCATAAAAATTTTTTAAAAGAAAAGAACAGATTATGAGATATAATTGAGTATGTTCACTGGCAGATTTATAAAGTACTGCATACATGTTTTTGATCCTTGGTATGATAGATAAATTATAATTTTTTTAAATTCTTTGGTGCCCTGACCAGGTAGCTGCGTTAGTTGGAGCGCTGTCCCATAGAAATCGATGTGTCTCTCTCTCTCTCTCCACGCCCTCCTCTTTCTAAAATCAGTAAAACATCCTCAGGTGAAGATTTTTAAAAAATTCTTTGGTATAATTTGCTATTTTTTTAAAAAAGAATAAAATGACCATGAAACTCACGTGCACAGAATAACAAGAGAACTAGGGAATAATTCCTGGTACTGAAGACAGCATTTTAATACTCGGTCATCGTTGTTCTCATCACTCAATCCATCTGCAAATTTAACAAAAGTAATTATCAATAAGTGCACTATGAATAACCTAGGCTGTACTTACATACAAAACACACTAAAACAAAACAAAAACAAACTTTTTAAATAATAAGAGGAGCATAAGACACAGTAAAACAATACCTTGAAAATTTTGGAATGAACTCAAGCAGCATATAGTTATGAGTTTGAAAAAGTGGTTCATTTTCTACTAAAATGGAACAGGTTATGTCCATTAATAAACTCAAAAAATGTGATCAGGAGGTCGAATGCCACAGCAGAAACTAAAAGCTCTGACTTCTAATTTCAATTCAGTCACTTAGAGATTTATTAGTAAATTATGATTACTTCATGCTTAAAAGGATCTCAACTTATAAGAGATCTGTAAAGATCATGAGCAACTGTTCCACCAGCTACAGAACCACTCCCCCATGTCTGCTCTTCCTTCCTATCTAAAGGAGCAGCACAGGAGAAGGCATTACGGGCCCTGGGTAGAGAACACAAAAAATGACCTCTCACAAATGTTAATCAGTGGCTGACAGGTTGTCCTCTGGCATTCTCCAAGCTTTAAAGTAGGTGGTAAAAGTTTGATTTTTGTGCAAATAATGCAATGAGCAGAAATAGGACCAAAGACAACGTTTCTCCTAGGTCCTTACACTACCTTCCTCAGAATTCCCATGGTGCTTGTTAACAATACAGACTGCAGGATCACATTCCCAGACCCACTTCTTTGGAGTCTGGACCCAAAGACTGATTTAAGCCCTTGGGGAGTCCCTTAACACACTACAATTCAAAACACAATAGCCCATGAGCAATGTTCCTAGATTGTAACAGGTTTTTTTTTTCCCTTCAAATTTTAGCCTATATTGCTTAGTCCTCTAAACATTCAAATTAGAAAACTCATTCATTCCTGCAATAAATACTTATTCAGGACTGAATTTGTGCCAGGTCACTGCAGTAAGTAAATGGATATGCAAAAACAAACTTTTTAGGAGCTCACAATCTCATTGTGAAGTCTAGACAGAACCCAGCTGATCTCAGAGCATGAGCCTGGAAGGTCCTTAATTCAATTCTTTAATCAGCCAGCCATTGAGCCAGACAGACGTGTATTACAGCAGCCAATTTTCCTTATTTTAGCTCACAGAGTAACTACCACAATAATGCAAAGTAGGAAGCTTTGCATTAAAGTCCTGAGTTAACGTTAAACAACAAAATTCAGCACACAAAAGGAGGTTTAAAAGTTATAGTGCACTGCTCTCAGGGTATCGAAGTTCAAAAATATCTGTTCAATCACTTCTATGACACACAGGACTGGAAAACACATTTAAAGGTACAAGAATATTCATGAAATATTTATTCAACAAAGTTTGTTTAACATTACATGTCATTAACATTTTTCAAAATATAGTATTCTCGCATATGGCTACAGAATATATAACTTCTCCAACTGTTACACAGTGAGGCTGTTTCAAATTTTTTTGCTGTATAAATGATGCTGTGGTGAACATTTTTATGTAAATCACTTTGAGCATCTCTGATTATCTCTTTAGGATGTATTTCTTGAAAGAGAATTATATCTTCAGGCTTCTTGATACACACTGATAAATTGCTCTCCTGAAAAGTCACTAATTTATATTCCCAAAGCACTAGAGCACTGTTAAGTGTTCCTTACAGGTGTTGGGAAAAAGTAACTTTCTACATTTAGAAGCAATAAAAAGAAATAAAGAAAAAAGTGAAAGATAAATCTAAAAATTTTTATACATGAAAAATTAACATTAAAAATAGCCAACAGAGAAGAACATATATGCAGTGAACAAAAGCCTGATGAGCTGTATTTCTTCCTTTTGTGAATTACCTATTAATGATCTTCATCCACTTAGGGGAAAGGGATATTTAGTTTTTCTAATCAACCTGTATAAGCTTTTCACATAACAAGGACATTAGAATTATCACCTATACCAAGCCATAAACCATTAAGTACTTTATATAGTATCTGACACAATTACACAAATAGTCTGTTATTATACCTACAACCTTATGACTAGAAACAACTTCAGCAATTTAACAAAAATAAGATCAAATAATAAGATTTAAACACTAAAGTGAAACATGGATTTCCAGGAAGGCACAGGGAAATTGAAACAACACAGAAGTTTGAGACAACTACTATGACTTAACCTTCTTAATCATCAAAAAGCACAGACTAAAGAATTCAAAGCATCAAAAAAGAACATGAAAATAGAAAAGTTAAAAGGAACATAATAAGCATCTAAAAATAATAAATGTGCCCTAACTAGGTAGCCCAGCTGGTTGGAGTGTTGTCCCAATGTGCCAAGGTTGCAGGTTCGATTCCCAGTCAGGGCACATACAAGCTTCAATCAATGAATGCATAAATAAGTGGAACAACAAATCAATGTTTCTCACTCTTTCTCTCTCAAATCAATTAAAAAATTAAAAGTAAATAAATAAAAATAAAAAGTGTGGCCAAAATAACTATTCTAAAATAAACTCTCTAAAATAATTTTCAAAGCTAACCTATTGAAGAAATGTCTATCTAGGACAAGTGCTTAATCTCTCTGTGTCTCAATTTCCTCATCAGTAAAATGGGGCTAATAAGGGAGGGTGTCCTCCGCAGGACTATAAGGATTGAATGAGGTATTAGCTGTAAAGCATTTGGAAAAGGGTCTAGAGAATAATGACCATAAAAGTGTTATATATCATTATCATAATTATTTATATTATTATATAATAAAATATAATTTGTGTTAACAAACTAAAAAAAAAAGATTAAAAATAAGCAAAATTCCTACCTCTTACTAAGGACTGGGGCTATACTGAAATAATGGCATGGATCGAGGTTAATTTTGTTAATTGCGTGGTTACTTAAAAAAAAAAAATCTTAACTGTTAGCAATATATACCGAAGCATATATAGGTAAAAATGATGATATGATATTTGGGGTTTACCTCAGACTACTGCAGAAGTTGCAGGAGTTGGGGAAGAAGAAATAAAGGAGATGAAGGAATAAACAAAAACGGCCAATGTTAATAATTACTGAAAATAACTGAAATATAACTGAAAATTACTGAAATATACAACTATCCAACACAGAACTATATAGTCAGTATCTGTGAAATATAGACATAACCTAAGAAGGTCTAGAAGAAACATAAAAATAAAAATCAAAGATCCTAAAAACCAAGCCTAACAGAATACCCCAACTCATCACTATGTCCTGCCATTTCACATTTCAATGGTTATAAATTTTTTGTAAGTTTTTCATCGTTTCCCTCCAATGAGTCAGCACCGAAACAAATCTTAATCAGGAAGTACCCCAAGAGAACCATACTTACAAAGTTTCTGAGATGCAAGTTGTATTGATTGACCCCATAGTTTTCTATCTTGATCTCTGAGACTGTCATTGATAAAACGGACTGCAGGTATAGCTTTGTGCTGGGCATATTTCAGTAGTTTTCCTGCCTTCATACGATCTAGCTCTTGCACCACAACCCAGGGAATTATTAATACAAGCCTGTCAAAGCCTAGGAAAATAAAAAAGATGTATTAGAAGTCAACAAATGTCTAGAGCTATTAAATCTAACTGCTGTTGGAAAACGGAAAGTTACAAAGTAGGGAATTCACAATCTAAATGAAGAGATACTATATAAAAAAATGAAAATTAAAACCAGATGTGCCACAAGAATGTCACAACAATTAAATAGTATTGGTGATCAAAGAAAAGTCCATTTAGATAGCTAGGTTAACTTGTGAAGGCTGTTTCATTTTTTTAACTTAAGCTGATTATGCAAATATATTTTATAAATACCTGGCATTTCTGTTGTCTTCAAAATTTTAACAAATTTGAGATGATTCATCAGAATATTTGTATCAATAACAATTAGAAGGTGTTTATCTGAAGCTGTATTTGCTAGAGAAAAAGAGCAAAGTTAGATTTCCTGACATGTGATAACAGACTGCCTTAATAACTAAAATTTTGATATCATAGAACTATAATAGCATTCTTAAGAGAAGGCAGTCCTTCAGACAACAAAAGGAAAAATGCATTTACTCCAATTCTTAAGAGAGAGAACAGTAATAATTAATTATCTACCAGTAGAATACTATGAATTGCTCACCAATGGATTTAAATCATAAACTGACTTTCCCCAGTAGCAAACTATGTTGCCAAACTCTGTCCTGCATCACTGGTAGTTGTGCACTTAGGAATTATAAGGTAATTTTAAGATACTCTGAGTGAAATATAATTGAAAGAAAAATGTATATAAAAGAAAGAAAACAGATAATACTAGCACTGTTATTTTATAGTGCCACTGTGAGAATCAGGTTCACATGGAAACACATGGAAACAGTAAATTGAAAAATTCAGTGTGAATATAATGTAGCACTACTATTTTTATAAGTACAATTCAAAATAGTATACTGATAGATTTTGGATAATATCTATTATTATCTTCTCCCACTAGTAAGAACGATCAAAATTTTACTATATAAGAAACCCAGGCATACCGTATCTTTGAGCAATTTACATTATTCCTGATAAGTGGTTTAGTTAGTTGAAATTGTTAAAAGTGATGATTAAAAGCAGGAATAAAAGACAACTCAGAACTCTGATTACTACCCCTTGGCAAAAAGAGAAACAGAAAAATATGTCTGCCTAATAATGTGAGATATATAAAAACAAATGATAAGACAAATACATAGCTATTCCTATAGCTAAAATACACCAAACTTCATTATTTCAAATGAACACATTTTAACATTCTTCTTCTAAATATTACAAAAATTGCATGTTAGCACATTCATTCTTAAGAAAGCACAGGAGACCACAAACACCAGGTGCGAACCGGGTATACCAGCAGAGGCGTGCACATCGTCTTCAACCAAGTCAATCTCCATACTGGATAACTCTCCAGGAGGGGGAACCACAGGCAAATCCACACTCTTCCCCGCACGTGCAGCGTGAAGCTCTTCCACTATTTGCATCTGAAATGGAAAAGACCCACAGTAAAATGTTTTTGAATTATTTAGTCTGAAGGTTAATAAGAAGAAAGCAATTAAATGAAACAGTTTGTGGAAAGAAAAATATTTACAGAAATAGGTTGGCAGCGTGGTAAAAGAATACAGACTTATAAACATACACAGTGTTTTTAAATAGCTCTTCTCTTAATACTTTAGTGACCTTAGACAAGTTATTTCACTACCTTGGGACTCAGTTTGTTCATCTACAAAATAGGAATGTTAAATGTGCATTTCCTTTCAGCATTTTTGTGAATTTAAATAATGAAATATTGTGAAGCTCCTCACACAGAGCCTAGTATGTAGTAGACCCTCAAATTAAGTTAATTTCCATCCCTACTCTCACTTCATAGTACTTTACGAGTCAAATATATTTTTAACTGGATGATGAGTGATCTTATTGAGATTTCTAAGGTTGGTTATGAGCCATCAAAAAGTCAAATCTAAATCTAGCTTTAGAGCAGAGGTAAGAAATCTTCTGTAAAGGGCACATACCCGCAAGACAGAAAAAATATACCTGACTGTCACAAATAAAAACCTTTCACAATCTATATGGTTTTAAAGTCTTCTTAAAAACAGAAAAATACAAAGTTTTTTTCTATAAATCTAATTTTAATTTCAGGACCAGGGAACATAAAATTCTATGCCATAATTCTTTGAGGATCAATTAGGAGATTCTAGCTGGGAAATGATGCAGCAGGTAAAAAAAAAAATTATATATATGTGTATGTATGTATATGTATGTGTGTATATATATTATACATACAAATGCACACACACACATATATACACACATACATACACGCGCTCTTGCCTTCACTGAATAACATTTTCATCTTATAGCTGATTAGAAAAAAATGGGCAAAAAGAAATGTTAATATCAAACTGCATTTTGCAAGTCCAGGCATAAGCAGACAAATGCCTGATAACATTAAATCAAAGTTTATATAACTGTGGGCCATGTGCTCCATGCTCTTACTCAAAACACGTAAGATACAAAGGCAGAAAGGTGATCAAGTAAATGCAAATACTTTTCCAAATAGTTTTTTGTGACCTAATAAAAACTTATATATTGATTTAAGTACAGATATCGGTGTTATTTTCATATTACCAAAGCTTTTAAAGTCATTATTTTTTTTGTTGAAATAGGAACTGTTCGACTTAATTGCATTAAAAATATTCAACATAAATAAGAGTAGCATTAACCTCTTCATCTGTATCTTGAATAATTTCATAGGACACCGAAGAACACTGTGCTTCAAAACTCTGAAAAGAAAAGTGATTTCATTAGTTCAGCCTGAAGCACAGAGCTACAGTGAGGCTGTGCGGCCTTGGCGCCACGGCCACTGGGGCCGGGTAATTCCTCGTGCGGGGCCGTTCTGGGCACTGGAGGCTGTTCGGCAGGATCTCTGGCCTCCACCCACTGGACGCCAGGGGCACACCTCGTTCCCAATCGTGACAACCAGAAATGTGTCTGTCAAATCTACGCCAAATGCCCCTGAAAGGAGTGATAGTGCCCCTGATGAGAAACTGCCCTTGACTAGAAAAGCCTTATTCTAGTAAGTCATGAAACAGAATAGAAATTCTTTAGGGTTTACTCATTCATATGTACATTACTAAAAAAACTCATATTCTAAGAATGAAACTATTGCACATGCCACCCTAAGAAATAGAGAGAACCATGCAAAGGTAAACAAGCTGGTCTTTGGTGTTGGAAAATTTTCACCTAGGAGTAACTGAGCCATTTCTCAAAGTGAAATGACACAAAAACAAAGGGACCTTGAAGATTCTAACTTAGGAGGAAAGGCTAAAAAATGCATGGTTATATTGTCTTCTGGCAGAGGTTAAAAATCTCTCTACTAATTCCAATTTTTCACTGGCACTTTTGCTGAGTGAGTGAGACCTACCTGACCCTCTGTGCAGGTAACAGGGAACCGAGCAAAGGCCACTACTAAACAAAATCATCTTTTGAGAAATCTCCAGGATAACACCAAACTCACATGTATATCCCAGGAAGCTACACAGGGTATAAATTACATGTTGCTCTATTGGGAATTCAGTTTCCATCCTAACTTCCCAACACCAATCTTCACATGATATAAAACAATACACATTGCCCACATAAGGCCATTATAGCTTTACTATTCCAGGACTCGGATTTTATAATCCCTTCTCCACCTGACATTAAATCTCACTAGATCTTTAAAGTTCTCTTCAATTAAGAAGTGCCAAGCGAGCTACAGATTATCATCAGAACTTTCTACAACACTTGACACTGAAAGTCTTCATATTCTTTTACTTAGGTCAGTATGACCCTTCCCCCTCTTAGACCACAGGCCACTTACAATGACTTCAATAAATTTTCTATCACCCCAGAGAAGTTCATGTCAACTATTCCAGAAAACTTCCCCCCTATTAAAAAAAGTCTTAGTGGGCATTTAAGTGCCTTTCCCTACCACACTTTATTAAATACCTGGATTGGGATAAAGCCTGAGGATGACAAAAGGGAGTATCAATAATGAGGGTAATAATGGTTTTATCTTTTGGAGTGATTCTAAACTGGGAACCTGATTGTGCTACTTCCTCTATTATGTTTCAGTGGCTCCGGACAACTTACAGGATACAAGATAAAATTCTTCTCACGGAATACAAAGTAATCCACTGTCTGGACCCGGGCTTCCTCTCTGACTTCCCCTCCAACAGATTCTCTACACATCTCAACTGAAGTGCCTGGGTACGCCCTTGCCATGAAATTCCACAGCTCTGTGCCACTGTACACACTGGGCCTTACCCTGGCACAACATTTGCATCCCTGGCTCCCCACATCTTTGAATGCCAACCTGAAGACTCTCCACCTTAGTGAGCCCTTCCTTAAGTTACTCCAAATTTATACTGACACTGACCCAACTCTTAGAACTCCAATATTTATTTCCCTGTATTGTAATTGCATTTGCTTACTAATCTGCCTCCCTGCGAACTTCTTGAGGGTAAAGATCATCTTATTCACCTAGAAACATAACTGATATATGATATGTACTTTTAATTAACGTTTAATAAACTCATAAATTCCTACCTCACAGACTTGTATGTACTAAGTTTATAAAAGGGGCAAGTATACCTCAATTTCTAGAATATTAACTTGCAATACTAGGGGATGGGTGCAATCTGAGAGAGGTCTATATCAAAGGACTATAAAACCTAGGCAACAAAAGAAGTTATCTTTCACTTAGGAAAACATAACAGGATTACTAAATCCAAAAATTACAATTATTTCCTTGTAAAGTACAATCAATATTTTAGGAAAATAATTATCAAAAAATTTGCAAGGAAAACAAAACCATGTGCTGAATATATTCAACATAGGAACAATATTCACTTGCTGCGCCTGTGTCTAAATAACGTTAAGTCCGATAAGGTTTCTATCAAAGGAACAGTTTATAAAGAGCTTTAATCGCCATAACTTGAAAGTAATCATGCAAAAATTTCTTCCCCTACAACTTAATATTCATGCTACATACTTCTTTTGGTCTCCGTAGTAATTTTACAGAGACCAAAAGTAACTGTAAGAAGCACTGCAGGCTCTTTCATACCGGTCCTCAGATGTACAGCCCAGGGGAATACCAAGCAATGTTACAAAGATGTCACTGAACACACTGGCAAACAACGTACTTTATTTTATTCTAGGGAACTGGTTATAACACAAGAAATCCGGAGGTTTTTCCTTTAAGAAAGCAATAAAGACTGCCGGTCATGAAGTCGGTATAGGTGAACACAGTACTCGCCTCTTCCCACAACCACATCAGAATGAAAACTAAACAACAGAACAATCATTCAGAACCACCTAAAATCTGGTTGAATGGAAGTCCTATAACTAGGGAATTAAAGAAGATGCCACACAAAGCCTGGTAAAAGGGGTGGAGATGTGGAACAGGCTGGTTCCACATCTACGAGTGTCAGATAAAAATTGGGAGGGATACCTTAGCTGCGAAGGTTCCCTCCGAGAAGTCTCAGAGCGGTCTCAGCCCCACATCAGGCACCTCCAGCCCTGGGTTCCAGTGCCAGAAAGAGAAGTCCCCCCCAGTATAAAAACAAGCAGGGATTGAGGCTGAGGGAGACCCGGCTCTGGAGTCCCAAATAGTTCTTCTTAAAGGGCCCAAATATCGACTTACTCAAATACACTCCTTCTGAGCTTCAGTGCAGGGGCAGCGGCTTCAGGCTTCAAAGGCACCGGAGACGCACGGAGAGGAACTGAACAGTCCAGCATCAGGGGGAGAGCTGTGGAGGCAGCTTTCTCCAAGACAGAAGTGCTAGCAGAGGCCACTGTTCCTTTGATAAACCCTCACCCAACACAGCCTGCAGGCAGGTACCATATCTGAGACTCCATCAACCTGGCTCACACTGCTTGCCCCACCCGGGAGATTCCCTGAGGCCCTGCTCCACCTACTTTCAAGCCCAACAAGCTGTTTCCAGCAACTTTTCCATAAAAATGTCCTGTCTTGGCCCAGGCTCCAGATTTTCCTAAAATCTCTTAAACAAGCAGCATCTAACGTCAGCGAGTCCCGTACCTCTCATTTACCAGTAAATGGTCCCAGGCCCTGTCCTAGCAGCAGCCAGCCTGGGTTCACAGACAGCTTGGCCTTGCCTAGGCACTCCAAGCCCAGCACAAGTAGCAGCCATGTGCAGATCCCTTTGTAGCTCCTAGCAGGTGGCCCCAGGTAGAGGTGGCTGACCCTGTCCTGCACCTCCCAGGAGGCACCTGAGCCAGTGCACCCAGTGGGCAGCTTCAGACCACAATGAAGCACAACCACCCAACCACCTCACAAGTGACACACTCAAGGGACGAATTCAGCAGGCACCAGAGTCCTGCTAAAGTAAGTCCTACTCTTTGGGGTGGGCCCAGCATGGCTCATCCTCCATGGTGGTCAATGTCACAGCCAGTCCTTGCAGCTGATCTGCCTGGGGGTAAATCCCTGCCACTGACATGCCAACAGCAATCACAGCTCAGCTACAAGAGGGGTACACAGCCCATATGGGGGGGCGCAACTCAAGTGCCCAGCTCAGGTGAACAAGGAGGCTCTGCCACTGGACCCTACAGGACACCTACTACATTAGGACACTCTTCCAAGCCTGGGAAACAGAGCAGCTCTACCTACTATATAGAAACAAACACAGGGAGGGTGTCAAAATGAGGGGACAAAAAAACATGGCCCAAATGAAAGAAAAGAACAAAGCACCAGAAAAAGAACTAAACAAAATGGAGTCAAGCAATCCACCTGATACAGAGTTCAAAACACTGATTATAAGGATCCTCAAAGAACTTAGTGAGAACCGGAACAACATAAAATAGATCTACTCAGAAACGAAGGATACACTCATTAAGATAAAGAACAATTTACCAGGAATCAAAAGTAGAGTGGATGAAGCCAAGAATCAAATCAGCAATTAGAATTTAAGAAAGCAAAAACAACCAATGTTCAGAACAGCAAGAACGAAAACTAATCCAAAAAAATGAGGACAGTGTAAGCAGCCTCTGGGACAATTTCAAGCATTCCAATGCTCACATCATAGGGGTGCCAGAAGGAGAAGAGAGCAAGAAACTGGATACCTATTTGAAAAAATAATGACAGAAAGCTTCCCTAACTTGCAAAGGAAATAGATGTACAAGTCCTGGAAATGCAGAGTCCCAAACGAGATGAACCCAAAGAGGCCCACACTAAGACACATCATAATTAAAACATAAAAAGTTAAAAGACAAAAAGAGAGTCCTAAAAAAAGCAAGAGAAAAACAATTAGTTACCTACGAGGGAGCTTTCATAAGGCTGTCTGTCAGCTGATTTCTCAACGGAAACTTTGCAGGCCAGAAAAGACTGGCAAGAAATATTCAAAGTGATGTAAAGCAAGGACCTACAACCAAGATTGCTCTACCCAGCAAAGCTATCATTTAGAATCAAAGGACAGATAAGAGCTTCCCAGACAAAAAAAAGCTAAAGGAGTTCATCACCACCAAACCAGCATTATTTTAAATGTTAAAAGGTCTTCTATAAAAAGAAAAAAAGATAAAAATATGAACAAAATGACAATAAATACCTATCAAAAACTGAATCTAAAAAACAAAACAAGCAGGCAGAGCAGAAGCAGAGTCATAGATACAGAGAACATTGTGATGGTTGCCAGATATGCGGGGGGTTGGGGAAGATGGGTGAAAATGGTGAGGGGACTAAGAAGTACAAATCGTTTTTTGCAGAGTAATCATGAGGATGTAAAGTACGGCATAAAAAATAGAGTCAATAATCTTCTAACAACTGTATGGTGTCTAATCACTGGGCTGTACACATGAAACTAATATAATAACCTACGTCAACTGTAATTGAAAATAAAAACAATATATAAAAATAAACAAAAAAGAAAGCAATAAAAAGAACAAACTCAATTCCTTCCCTCTTTGGAACCCTTCAAGTATACTGAATGAAGAGTGTTTTTTCTCTCTCTCCCTTTCTCTCTCTCTCTCAAGCTCTTCTGGCCTTCCTTGTTATTATCCCTCCATCTTTCATAGGAAGTACTTTACTACGCAATCTATAGTCCTAATAGCTAAAAGCAGGTAAACTCAACCACTCCTGTTTATAAGCAGCCTCTAAATTTCAGAATTCTGAAGTTCTAAAATTCTAGAAGATTTATTTTTCTTTTATTATAAATATTATAAATATTATTTATATTTTATTTATTTTTTAGAGAGGGGAAAGGAGGAGGGAAGAGAGGGAGGGAAACATCAATGCGTGGTTGCCTCTCATGTGCCCCTTACTGGGCATCTGGCCTGCAAGCCAGGAATGTGCCCTAACTGGGAATCGAACGAATGACTCTTTGATTCGTGGGCTGGTGCTCAATCCACTGAGCCCCACCAGCCAGGGCTAGAAGTTTTCTTAAAGGTAAACAATTTTGCCACAGAGAAAAGGCTACAGAGAACAGTTCTCAAATTAGTCCACATATGCCAATTTATTCCAATATTTAAAAGCAAAACAATTGTGCCATGCTCTCTAGCCTGATCTCTGCACATGCAGTTAATTAGTTCCCTTTGCCTGGAACATCCCTGTTTCTCGCATCCCACCTCACCTCACCTTCACCCAAGAAATTCCTATTCACTCCTTAGTTCACAGTTTAAACATAACTCCGTTTGGTAAACCTTTCTTAACTAATTCCCCCACAGTGTACCAAGGCCACGTTAATCACCTGCTGTGAATTCCCATATTAACTGCTAAGTACTTATCAGACTTTTGTGCATCTCCTCACATGCATAAGCCTCTGAATACAGAGGTGTGTCCCTTCTAGTTTGTAGAAATGCCTGGCACAGAGCGGCACTTAACAAATAATTTGCTGAAGGAATAAGCTATTCAGAACACTAAAACCTGGGTGTTCCATAGTACCAGGGGTCAAAGAAGAGCCTAAGAGACTGCCACAGTGCTTTTCTTAAAGAACTATCTGTAACTGCCTCTTTCTACATTTTTATGCATTCTCGTCTATTAAGGATCCTTGACACTTTCCAGGATACCTTCCTAAGGAAGGTGGAGTTAAAGGGGTAAAATAAAGAAACCAGCACATATCTTCCTGACTAAATATAAATCAGCCCTCTGTGATTATTATCAGTGATGGAAACAATATTACTCTCTGCTAAAACCTACATTCTGTTTTACAGTATCTTACCTGGGTTAGGTTTTCACTTGAACTTGAATCATTACTTTCTTGATGCTCATGATGAGGTTTTCCCTTCCACTCATGAACTGTCTGTTTATAAGTGGAATCTGAAAATAAATGTTTACTTTTGTGCCTCATCGAATTTGATGGAACCTGAAAGCTTTCCAGGCGTCCTTTTTTCTTCTGCTTAGTCCTTGACTTGTTGGAGTCTAGAAGGAAAACATTTCCTTCTACAAGTTTCTGATGGGTATCATGAGGTTTTACTGGAATTTTGAAACTGATCTTTCTTCTTCTAGATTCAAGGGGCTCCTTCATTATCTGGTTGGAATTATAATCGTGAGAAAATTGAATTCTCTTGCTTTTTTCCAAAACATATTTTTCAGAACTGTCTCTGTATCTGTTGTGCCTTTCTTTCTTGTGCTCCTTCATCTTCTCCCTCTGAGCAAGTGCATGAGGCCATGATTTTTCACCCGCCTGGCCTTCAGCTTCAGGTTTCACGTCTTTGGCAATTTTAGGACTGCTAAGGCTTTTAATTCCATGGTCAGAGTTACTCCTAACATTTGTCAGTTTCATATCTTTAACTTTCATATCTACACATTTACTTATATGTTTTTTAGCTCCATCTGAAGAAGGACTTTGTGAAATAATTTGATTATCATTCAAATATGATGCTTCTTGGAGTGTAACAGGTCCTTCGGATGACAAAGCGATTTTTGGTCTCTTTCTTGGAATGTCAGTGTCTACATTCGGTCTGTAATGCAACACAGAAACCTGGGTTACGTTACAATTATACATATATAATTTGCACTGTATCATTTTAGTTAGGAATGACAGAACTAGCCTGACACAAACTTCATAAAAAGTGGCAATGACTACATTAAGAATGAAATGAAAAGGATTACTCAACAAATGGTGTTGGAACAATTGGTTTGCTATTTGGGGGAAAAAACAAAAACACATTTACAGCTTGGTAAAATACCAGACATAAATTCCAAATAGATTAAACATTTCAGTACAAAATAATAATTATCATCTTAATTGCTATACTTTATATCAGACCCTTAAAAACTGCATGGAATATTTATCTGATTTCTTAATAGAGAACTTCCTAAACTTAAGTGCCATGGGAAAAATCAAAAGAGAAAATAATAAGTAACTACTTACTTTCAAACTTTAGCATATTAAAAGTTAATAAACAAAATTCAAAGAACTGGGAAATGGCATTTTATAAGAATATCAAAGTGAAAAAAAAAACTAAAAAAAGAGGTATTCAATTCAGGATTATTTACAACAAAATGTCAAGTACAAGGTAAATGTCAGAATTTTGGAAATGACTAAGAAACATTTTATCAATTAGGAGAAAATATCATGGTAATTTAAAATGATTTTTATGAAAAGTTTTCAATGATAACCACACTGATATAATATTAAGAAAACAAGCAGGACACACATCTGTATATATAATGTGGTCTCAACAATTTAAACAAACATAGTAAAAAGGTCAAAAACAAATGTGCTAAAAATGTTAGAAGGTGCAATAGCTACAGGACTAGGCACTGGAGAGGCAGTGGAAGACACATCAGATAGAGCTCTTCCCCCTAATTAGATTACAGTCCAGCAGGAAAGAGATGGCAATTAAGTGACCTCTCAAATAATCATACAAGACCAAACCATAAACATAAGGAGTTAAACCTGACTCTTCATCTGATTTTATTTTCTTTGCTATCTATTCCTACCAAGAGACTGCCTATCATTATTTATCTGTTAATAAATAACAAAAGAAAACTAAATTGTTTTTATTATCCCCCTTTAAAAAAATGTTAATTTTTCAATTTCAGCTAACATACAATAGTGTATTAGTTTCACATGTACAACATAGTGATTAGACATTTATATAACTTACGAAGTGATCATTCCAATACAAAACTTTAAATTTTACAGAACCTTGACTAGTATTTAATGGTATATCATGAAAGATGCCAACTATATTAAAGAAAAATCAGGAAAACAAGCAAAACAAAAATTTTAATAGTAACTTGTAGTTCTGAGCAGTTTCATATTCCTATTTTATTTGTTCTTCACAATAACCCTACACTGCATATTTCATATAAATCTATGCACCATGTTCTATATGGTCATAATTAAATGAAAACTGAACCTTATCATACCTTTTAAAACACTAGCAAAATTAAATCTTAAAATCACCTCTTATCAACCAGTTATGTGAAATGCTATATTTCAATAATTGTTCTATTTTTGCAACCCAAAATATTATATTTCTGACATCTTTTTAGATAAATTAGACAGACAGCAAATATGTTTTTTACAAACGAGTATAAAATCAATGTTCACCTGAGGCTGAGTATCAACATCCTAGATGGAACTCTTGAAATAAAGAATGTGAAATTTTGTGAAAAAATTATTATAATTAGATTATTTAAAAATGTAGTAACCAATATTTTAAAATATGACATAGTACAGGAAATTTACCAAAAAAACAGGAAATTTACCTTTTCAGTTCTTGTCTTCTTTTTACATTACTGTTCAGAATGTCTATATGATGATCTGATTTCTGAAAGAAAAAAAATGTCTAATTTTAGAAATATAAATTGTGCAGTAGTGCTATAGTTACAGGGGAAAGAGACTAGGAGACAATTTTTTTTCCCCATACTTATGTGTTTGTGAATAAGCTGACATAATAATTTAATTATTCTTTCCAATAATCTTTTGAGACAGATATTGTTATCATCCCCATAAAGTATCCAAGGCTCAAACAAAGCAAATCACCTTCCTCAATGTCACAGAGTAGGTCAGCAGCAGATCTGTCTGCTCTCTATCCTACTACCCAGTCACCCTGTGTATTCTGGGAAACAGGGCCAGGCACAAGAAAAATAAGAGAAACAGGATGTAATCCCTGTCCTAAAGAGCTCAGAAGAAAAATGAAGAGAATGAGAAGAATATATACCAATAACCTAATGTAAGGACACAATTAAGCACCAAAGTAGAAGAGTAGACAGTAAGTTGTAAAAGTGTTTAAAATATCAACCACCAAAACTTAGAACATACTTAGGGAAAAAAGTGGAAAAAATACATGTTAAAGATTAAATATAGATTGAATGAAGGTTAACGGGTAAAAGAAAAAGGTCTTCTCACCTAAGAGTGCTCAGGCATTCTAAAAAGCTAAAGATGACTGGAACCAATTCAGCAGACAGAAAGTAAACCAGCCTAGCTAGAAACAGAAGTTTTGAGGAAGAAGAAAGAAAACTAAAGAGTTAGGATTTGACCAAATTTAAGAGCATCCTGAATGACAACCTAAAAAGGGAGCGAAGGTTTTTTAAGGTGTTTGAAGAACGTTACTGTAACAGCAATAAGTTGAAACAGCAGTTTCATTAAATGAAAACAAAGAAAGACAAAAACACAATTCTGCATTCATTGAACTTCCACTACTTTTTATTACCCACAACTCTGTAGCTATCCTGACATAAACCTAACTTCAACTTGGATGTGGTAAGTGCTTCACCAACCACCCATGCAGTAGCTTCATGTGTTTAGTTTGCTCTCACTGCTTCTAATTATTTGTATGAGAGTGGAAAGGACTCTGGACTTGGCTTTTATGCTGGACACAGCAGGTCCTTGAATAACATCATTTCCTTTTTTGTTTAGTTATAACATTGATGAGATGCTGTAGGAACTTAACTCTTTTTCCTAGCAATCAGCCTATAGTAAAATTGGTTTCATCATAAATCATTTCACTTAAAAGTCGCAGAATCTATCTACAACATTAAGTGAGAATTTACTGTATGATTTTGTGTCCTTGGACAAGTCACTTAACCTTCTGGATCTCAATTTCTGAATCTGAAAATGCAAACACATTATCTTTCTTGGCTACCTCAAAAGAAAATTGTGAAGACAAATATAATCATGTATGGGAAAAGACTTTAAAATGTCTAAATGTATATCCATGTTGTCTGATCCCAAATGACAGGGTCAATCAGCACAAAGAAGTAAGGAACTTGATAAATGGTTTTGGTGAATGGAAGGAAGGGGAAAAAAACAACCTGGCTGTCTTTCCATTGGCTATCAAAAAGTTTAATAAAAAGAAAAAGCTGATGAAAAAGTAGTGGGGGAATTTGTATATTACACTTTCTAACTGTACATTCAAACTCTAATATAAATAACTTCCAGAGTTAGTTATAGTATCTAAACACTTACCAGTTTTCTCTTCTCTGATGAAACATATCTTCTAGAGCAAGATGAACTGGTAGAACTTTCTGAGGTTCTTTTATCTTTCTTATCCTAAGAATGCCATTTGGAAAAAAGGAAAAGAAAAACACCAAATAAAACACAGTATAAGACAACATCATTTCATCACTGTTATAAATCAACATTCCTTCAACATTAATAATAAATTTGAGAAGGGAACAATGTTCAAAGGCACACAAATTACTAAGAGGAAGAGAAACCCATGTAGAAGGTAGATTCAACTAGAAATCAGAAAATCAAAGTTCTCTTAAACTAGAGATGAGATGGGATACAGGTGATCCAGAAGGCCTGCTGATGGCTCAGGTAAGGGCACTGGGAGTTGGCACCAAGGTGGGGGAATTCGAATTCCATCTTCTACAAAGTAAACCCACATACCCAGTTATTTTTCAGTGGGTCCTGAATTCAACAGACCCAGGACAAATATATTTTGGGTACCGACCATGTGCCCATGACATTCTAAACAGTGGGGACAGATTAATGAAAAAAACTATCAAAAGTCCCTGCCCTCAGGGAATTAAAAATCTAGTGCAGGAATTTACAGATAAATAATATATTTAGTGTGTCACACTATGTTATGGAAAAAAAATAAAGCACAGAAAAGAATCAGGAAATGTTGGCAGGTGGGTGTCAAAGTAGTTGCAATTTTAAAGAGTAAAGACCTGGAGAGGGGGTGGAACAAACCATGAGAGTAGGAGAGTATCTTCAGTTCAAAGGGAAGAGCAGCAAGGGCAAAGGTCCCTGAGGTAGGAATGTGCCTGGCTTGCTGGAACAGAGCAAGGAAGCCAGTAAGTGGAGAAAGCAGAGGCAGAACGAGAGGGAGAAGAGCGGTGGAGAGTAGGTCGCTGTGTCTACCCCAGCAAGGACTTCAGCTTAAGTGGAAAACCACTAGAAAGTAATGGGTAAAGGGGTGATGTGATCTGACCTACCTTTTAAAGGGATCACTCTGGCTGTTGTGTTGAGAACACAAGGAGGCAAAGGCAGAAGCAAGGAGATCAATTTAGGAGATACTGGAATAATCCAGAAAAGCCAGTTCACTGCCTGGATCAGAGTGACAGCAGCAGGGAAGGGAGTCAGACTCTGAATATATTACTAAGAGAAAGAAAGCTGATATAATTTGCTGATAGACCAGATGCAGGTAGAAGATGACGAGCAGGGTTTTGGATCAAGCAACTGAAAGAATGGAACTGCAATTTACCAAACCAGGAAAACTGAGGCTGGGCACTTGAAAGGTTATCGTTTAAGAAGATGACGCTGTGAAGAAGTCACCAGTGGAGAAAAAAAAGTCAGAGGGATCTGATTTTCCTCCTCACTTAGTCTCAAAAGCTATGTGAAGAAACTGTTTCAAAGAGAAGGTGACGTCATTTTATCAAATATTGCTCATTGGTCAAGTCAGATGAGATGTTAAAACTGACCAAGGGATTAAGCAACAGGGAAACCATTGCTGGCCTTAATGAGAGCATATTTGGAGGAGCGATGGCAAGAAAAGTCTAGTTCAAGTAGGGGAAGAATGGGAGAATTGCAAACACCATGTCAATTACTAGTGTCCAATAGGGTTACATAAATCAAGGCCACACTCCAGGTCCCTTTCCAATTACAACTATACCTGGGAGGCCAAACTAGTAATCAGAAAGTTAGTAAGCAAAGAACAAACACCAAAAAGTGTAATGATCTCGAAAATACTTCATCCAAGTAATTAAAAAAAGGTTTTATCAACTGACCTGCTACCATAGAAATCACTTCTTTAGTGAATACTTACCTTTGCCAGACTGTAGTCTCTCATCTTGGATGACAGTGCAGCATAAATGCTATCTAACTCTCAAGATGCACGAGACAGACTATTCTGCAGGGGATTTTGCTTGTTTTGGTTAAATTAACCACGTGACAGCCTTGCTTCCTGGAGACAACACCCAGCTCAATTATTGAGCTATCCTAAACTTCATCCACTAAAACACTTCTTATTGTACTGTGCTGACAGCATCAGAAAAAGGAACGGAGTGAGCACGCATTCCCTACCCTCAGCCTCCCCTGCTCCTCCTCATTTTGATTGATGAGCATGGGATCCTATCCAAACCGGAGGAAATGCAGAAGGGAGAAGATGTGGAAAATGGTCTAATATTGAATTATTTCTATGAAAAGGAAGATCCTGGGGAAGGTTAGAATTGAAGTCAAAAATGCCTAGGCAAATTACTTACCTCTCTAAGCTTCGGTTTCTTCATTTGTATAATTGGGACAATAATAGTACCTATCTAATAGAATTGTGAGGAATAAATAAAATACTGCAAGTAGAGAACAGGAAAAAAAGACAGCTTACCCTGGGCCAGAAGGGCAGAATGATATGCTAACATATATCATTTGAAAACAGAGAAGCATTTTTTTTTTTGCATTCCTCAAAAATAAACTGTAAAAAGGGTGTCTTTCAGTTAGTAAATCAAAATTCTTACTTCTTCATCAAAGTTGGGTAATGAGGTGATGTCTTTTCTCCGAGATGTCTCTGTTTTTCCACAAGATTCTTTGCGGGACATTTTGAAAAGCTAAAATAAACATTAAAAACACATTATGTGCTTTTCATCACAAGAACCAACAAAAAAAAAGAATTAGAAATTATTCTTCTTTCAGTTATGTAAAGATTGGAGTCTTACAAACTGATTTCCACTTTCTAACCATTCCCAAGATGACAGGATTCTCTCACTGTCCCATTTTACTTCAGTTTCATTCTCCCTCATAATGCTCTGTTCCCCTCCTTTGGCTTCACCTGTCACCCTTTTAGGAATGACTCTCCAAACTGTGCCTTTAGCTCTGATTTCTTTCTCAAGCATCAGAGCACCACTTTCAACTGCCTGCAGGACTACTGTATTTTGTCCCACCTACGTCTCAAAACCAATTAGTCATTTGTCTTCATTTTCCCGACACACCCTCTCTGTCATTCACTGAGGGAGTCTTCAGGCAAATCACATCCATTTTTTTGAGCCCCAGTTTCACTATATGTAAAATGGAGATTACCCATCGCAGTGGGGTTTTGAGGGACTCAAATAAAACAATGGATATTAAAAATATCTTGCACAAGGTAGAGCATAGTAGGGTCTAAATAAATACTGGCACATGTGACTCTTTCTACTAGCTCCCTAAAGCGTATGCTGTATTAAAAGCTTAGGAAGTGCTCGTAAGCGCTTGCTGAGTGAATGGATAGGTGATTTTTTTCTGCCTGAGAATATTCACTCTTGAACTCTGAGCCACTACCAGCTCTTGCCCACTGCAGGTCCTCTGTTAACTTCCCATACCAGTCTCGCTCTTCCAGCCCTGCTCGGACCACGCCAGCACTGTTGGCTGCTGGACCCCTGCCCACCCCCCACATGGGAAAAGCAGCTAAGGCAAATGTAGTCATTTCCATATGGTCATAAACACTCTGTCAAGTTATAATATACCAAAAGTATCCTGTGCTGGGACACAGAGGCCAGGAACGTTACCAGCACAGCTGGGACAGGAAAATGTAAAAGGGGGTCTAGAAGCAAAGCCCAAAGGAGAGTTTATTGCTGGTGGTGGCACAGATTGAGACTATGAACATAAAGGCTAGAAACCAGGCCACTGTAAGTACTCCTGGTCATGCTCACAGTAAGTGAAGTTCTATGAAAGAATGATCAATTAAATAAAATCAAACTTTCAGAATGCTCTGATGAATATGAAGAGAAGGAAAATGCTCACAGCTAACAAAAAATATATTATTAAAAAAAATACTCAACATGGTCTTCTAAGAAAAGATTCCAAATTACCCAGAAATTTTGCTTTGTTTTTTTAAAATTAATTATTTATTTTTAATTAATTTATTTATAACTTTGTAAGATAATTTATGGCAATAATTGAATTCACAGTTGAGCTTCCAGATTAATCATCTTCTTGCTCTAAGAATTCCCATTCCACTTCGGGGGAGGGAAGCAGTGTAAGCAATACAATAAAAAAAACCCCAGTAATTTCCATAAAGTGAATTGCTTAGAGACAATGGACTGGTCATGTAATTTTTTTTTTAATTTAAATTTAATCCACGTCGGTCTGGTATTGCTTTAAATACAAAATAACGCTAATTTAAAACTGTTATCTGGAAAAAAATACAATAAAAATTTTTTAAATAAATAAACCTCTCACCCACAAAACAAATTGAAAAAAAAAAACAAACCCCACTGCAGATAGTGGTCTACTAAGGAAAAACACCTCTATGTTTACCATGACAAGTGCTTTACATTTATATAAAGTGTGAAATTCATATTGATTTTATGAAAGTCAAAATATAAACTAAATGAGAGGAGGCCTCCTGTGCTGGCCAGCCTCCAAACTGTTTCCTGGTGATCTCCGCTGCCTGGTAATTACAATCCTATGCAGTCGTCCTCTCTCACAATAAACAGGGCGGACCTGTGCTTCCAGTAGGATATTGGTAAATGGCAGCATGTGGCTAGGTCATCATACAAGACACTGTGGCTCTGCCTTTCCCTGTCTTGAATTGTCCATTCTCGAGAAAGCCAGCCACCACATCACGAGGACATTCGAGTAGCCCGCAGAGCCCACAGTGATGCCCACCAGCAAAGAAGTTCAGTCTCTTGCCAAAAAACAACCAAGTGCCAGGAATGTGAGCGAGCCACCTTTGAAGCTGATCCTGAAGCCCTAAATCGAGCCTTCAGGTTGGCAGCATCCTTGCCAAGTATCCTCCTAAGTTAACAAGGGACCCTGAGGTAGACACACCCAAAAAGCCATTTCTCAATTCCTGACCTACTGAAACTGTGGGAGAATAAATGTTTATCGTTTTAAGCCACTAAGCTTTAGTATAATTTAGGCAGCAACAGATTAGCAATACTCCCTTGCCAGGTATAATGCACACCCATGCTTTTGAGCACATTATACACAGGATTACTATACCCACTATTATACACATGGTATGTAATCATTACACCCCTGTGTAATGCACATCCTTATTTTTCCCTCAAAAATTTGGGCAGAAAGTACGCATTATACCCAGCAAAATACGGTAATTCTTTAAACTAGGAAGATTTCTTCTTTACGATGCCTCAAGAGCAGGACCATGCCTAGAAACTCTTGCTAAAATTCCCACAGAATGGACGTGCTAAAATCCAGCCCTTCTCATCTTCTGTTCTCCAGCGGATATTAAATGATGAGATCGACATGCTGAACAAGCTTCCAACCAACCATCTAGCTTTTAGAAGTAAAAAAAAAAATCAATGATTCTTGGATGATGGGCAAATAGCCACTACTCATTTCTCTAAGTATTATGTGTTATTATCCCATTTTTAATTGTCTTCTACCTGAAATTGAAAGAGGCTTCCCTCTCCGGTTGCCAATAACGTTCGAACTCGTCCCAGGCAGAAAAGCCAAAAAACTTTTTTCCCCGTGCCTGTCTCCCTGGGCATGAATGAGTGCGACTTTAAACTCACGCACGCCTAGGATAAAGGTGAAAGAAGTATTAAGCGGGGCTGGGGTCTCACTGGCAATTGCCTCAGGGGACCTGAATTGCATCCGTCACGTGCCCAGAAGCTCAACACACTCAAGAGTTCTGGTTATTCAAAGCCCAGACACTAGCGGGGACCGAAGAGGGGGGAGGCGGGGCACTTGTTTCCCCCACTCCCCGACGCTTACAACCGCGAAACAGCGCTGAGGAAACTGGGAATATGAAGATTATAGCAAAAGTAAAATAAGAGTGTTCGGGTCACGGTGTGAATAACGGTGCGAAACGAAGAACGGACCTCAATTCTAATCATGTGGACTGACAGGCAAGCTCGTCAGCGGCTCCTAAGCCGCACGGACTCACTCACTCCGCGGAAGTGACCATACTCCACGCAGAGCGAGAGACAGCCCCTAGAGGCAGGGCCAGGCCAGAACCACACCCTTCACCAAGCCGGCTCGACACCGGGTCCGCCCACAGAGTCGCCCGCCCTAGGCTCCAGTGGCCCCTTGAATCCCCAGTCCAGCGAGCAGCCGCCAGGGCTCCGCTTACGGAGTAGGCTGCCCAGAAAAACGTCAATGAACCTCTCCAGTTTTCCAACCTTACCAGCGCCGGGGGCAGTGGCGATTCCGGAGGCCCGGCCGAGAGAAAGAGACCCCTGAGCTCGAGGCCCGCTGGGAAATGTAGTTCGCACTCCAATCCCGTTACTACCCGAAGGCTCCAGAGCGTCCGTTTAGCTTTGCATTCACATCTAGGATTTGGAACTCCGGCTCCACCCCCCCAAGTCTGCGCAGTGCACCCTGGGTATTGTAGTCTTGGGTCGGTGTGGTGGTTGACGGCTGGAACGGGGACGCGCTGTGGAAACAAAACTCTCTTACCTCATTGGTCGCCGTCCCCACTTCGCTTCTGCGCAGTCTGTGGTGGCGTCGTAACGCCTCGGGAAAAAGGAAGCGGGTCGGATCGCAAATCGGTGCCTCTGGCCTTTAATTTTTCTGCTGACAGACTTTGGTCACTGATTCTTCATCTTTTGTCCGTTGCACGCATCTCGCCCTACCCACTTGCTTTCCCACTCCTTGGATCCAGCCCTCTGGGCATTCACGCCAGTTCTGTGACCCCGCCGTAAGCCCCTCCTGGTCCCCGGGCGGGTCTGGCACGGAGGCGGTAACTATGGAGAATATGGCGGAGGAGGAGCTGCTACCCCTGGAGAAAGAGGAGGAGGTGGCCCAGGCCCAGGCCCCGATCTCGGCCCCGGATTCGGCTCGGGTCCCAGCTCCGGCCCCGGACTCGGCTCCGACTCCAGATTCGGCTCCGACTCCGGCCTCGGCTCCAGCCCCAGCCCCTGCCCTGGCTCAGGCTCCGGCCCTGTCCCCGTCCCTAGCCTCTGCCCCTGACGAGGCTGAAAGCAGTAAGTGCAGGAGGTCCAGATCTTTCTGCTGCAGGGAAAGCGAGAAAGTGCGTCTTACTGGGGAGGCCCTTCATCAGTGGGATTGTTTTTATGGGGAAAGGCAGGTTTAGGGGAATGGGGGAGGAAGGAGGGACCAGTGTAGCGCGGCAGACGGGCACAGAATGGGAGAAGTAGGGTCCATAAACCTCGAGGACATCACGATGAAGGTTATGTGGAGGCCAGGGAGCTGCAAAATGAGTTTGATGGCCTCTTCATTAAAGGTTTCCCCCTCCCCCCGCCCCGGCTACACACACAGGAAGTTATACCTAATCTGGTAGCTTCCCTCAGCTTCCCACCAAGTCCTTTAAAAATGTGACAGTAACCGAGGCAACGCGTGTTTACTGTAGGAGGTCCTAGCTGCCAAGATTTAGAAATCATTGCTGTCAACTGGCTTGTATGCTTCGACATACACAAAAAGATGGGTTTTTCTAATTATTTCACTTTCTATAAAAGCTTACTTCCAAAAAGCATTTGAGGGTGATGAGTAGTTTAATAATAGTCGACCAAATTATGCATGTCTTCCCTCGAACATAAATACCAATTGAGTTTTGTACTTCATTCCATCAAGTCAACTGTTGAAAACTAATAGCCTATATTATTGTTTGTGCTTCTGAATGTGCTTGCATGCTTTCTAAATGGTGATTTGTTGGACCATAAAGGACTTTAAAAGATTAATGAATAACATTTTCTTACGAATCTTCTGAACATTATTTTAAATGTAAGGTCTAAGAAAGTTTAAAAATATTTCACGATCCATAAATTGACTCTCATGCTCCTTCTATATTATGCAAAAATATCTTAATTCATTATGTTTCCTACTTCTAGGCCAGTCGTGCGTTTACTGTTATAAAACACTTGGATAGTAATAGTCTAGTAGAATGATTTTGCAATTTTAAAACAAGGTATAATTGTTGGAGTAGATTTAAGAGTAAGGCTGATCATAGAAAAGAAAAAGTCAGGTAGGCCTTCCTCTTACAAGGTGAGAGTTAGCAAGTGCAAAATAAGGCCGGTGGTTTCTTCACCCACAACTACTGGGTGGGTAGAGAGAGTCCACTCTCCTGAGGAAGTTATTCTCCCTACCTCACTTCTGCTTACGTTCATCAGATGTGATTTAGCAGCTTTAGGGGATGCATGTTTTCTCTGCCTCCTCACCATCAAGAATATTTGGGAAGATTTATTCATGTGTTCTAAAATTTACAAAATGTAGCTTGAAGAATGCAATGTTTGAGAAACCTGGAAATTAACTACTGGGATGAATATGTAACAATTGAGAAATCTGAAATGCATTAGAAATATATATTAATTACATTTTAAAAATTATTTCTAGCTGGTCTAATTAGTCCTTTGAAATCAGTCATAAGTAAGCAAGATGAAGATGGCATATCTGAAATAGAATTGAAAATTGAGGACAAAGTGACAAAAGTTGTAAACGAACCTCCTAAAATGCTGGACTCATCTGATTTAATAAAAGGTTTGTCTGTTCTGGATTATTAGTGTGTTGCAAAAAGGTCCAATAGATTGAAGTACAGATTGCCTGATATCTACTATCTTGAACCAGAGAGTGATTTCAGAAATATACATGAGCATGTCATGAATCTTTGGAAGTGTTCTTCAGTAGTGGACCACAGGATTTTTCGTTTTCTAATTTACCAGGGCCTTTTCTCTTATTTTGTACTACTTAGTAGTTAGAATGATTTCAAAAAGCACATCATTATATAGTACTATATATCTTGTGTCATATATACAGACTTTTGAAGCATGGAAGCCAAAAACCTTTATGATTACGAATTAGTTTGGTTTGTGTACATGGATTCATTGTCTGAATTATCTGACCTAGCAATTAAAATGGGAGAAAAATGTTGCCTTTTTATAGGAATTACATCTCAATTCCTTTGAACAATACCCAAGCTAACCAACAACGTGTTCTGTGTTTTTCTCATGTAAAAATAGGGTAAAATTTGTATTTTAATAAATTTGAGGATGGCTGATTGTACTGAATTGGTTTCCAAAATTATAGACTCATTGTGCTACTGCATCCAAAAAGATGAATGATTTTTAAAAAATTAACAAACTGTAGTGCCTGTTGTGTGCAAGTTACTGCATAGCCATTACAAAGATAAATAAGACCCAGCTCCTACCTTCTTACTGCTTATTGATGGGGGAGACAAACAATGATACATATTATGCAAAAGGGTAAACAAAGGAACTGGGAGTGAAGCTCAAAGCTGCATTAGAGAGGACAGTTAAGAGTGTCAAGAAGAAAATTTAAAAGGCTGAAGGTTCTAAATTTTGTAACCTAATCATGTAATGAATAGTAGAGAGTCTTATGGTTTATCCCATCATCTCCTGTCTCATTGGGGATCTTTTCCTAACAGTTGTCTCCTAGTCTTATGTGTTCAGGCTCCCACTTTGTAAATACTCTTTCTTTTCCAAAATTTAGGAGTATGTCATTTGAAGTTTATGTAATATTTGAGAAACCTGAAAATGTGTTCCTGAGACTGATTTATATCTATTCAGAATCCTGTCTAAGCTCCAGAAACAATTCAACCGCCTACTAGACTTTACTACATAAATACCAGTAGTACATCAAACATACTATGTCAAGAACCAAATTCCCTTTATTTCTTTCCTCTTCCTTTCTGCCGGAAGTGTTTTCTTCTTCCTTCATTAGTTAATGGCACCATTATTCTCAACCATACGAACTCAAAATCTTAGAATCATTCTTGAATTTACTCTTCACCCTTAGTTTACATCCACATCCCAAGTTCTTTGCTGCTTTTCTTTTTTTTTTTTTTTTTTACATTCTATTCTCCTGTACCTTTCCATTTCTCACCTCAACTATTGATTCTTGGTACTACACGCAGAGACACCCTTCTGAAACATTCCAGTCACATCATTCACTTCCTCAAAAACCTGTGAAAGACCTAAGATTGTCTCAAAATAAAGGCCAAACTAACTTGCATAAAAGTTATGCCTTTTTTGGTCTCTACTACATTTTGGCTGCATATTTTTCTACCAACTCTAGCCAGCCAGGGGTGGGAGAGAGGTAGACTTTTTTTTTTTTTTTTAAATACCACATGCCTTCATTCATAAAGTTATTTAAGTTTATAAGGCCCAACACCGATTCTCTACTTAATTGAATTCTACTCACTCCTTAAGTCTCAGTCAAATGCCTCTTCTTCAGTGAAGACATTCTCAGGAGGCACTTGCTGGAATTAATTACCCTTTCCTCTGTATGCCCACATTATATTTACCCCCAGTATTCATTTCATTCTGCATTGTGTTGTAGTTAGTAGTTCAATCTCTTCTACCCGATGGAAAGTTCTTAGAAAATAGGGACGTGGCTTACATTTCTTCAGTGTTTTGTATGGAACAGAAACTGTTTTTTTGTAGGGTTATATTGAATAACTAGATAAACTTTAAAGCTGTGAGTTGACACAAATGAAGTTTTTTCCCCCAACTCTGCATTCTGAGGCACACTTGTCCTTTTATAAACTAAATTCTAGCAGTATTCCCCATTGAGGTATCAGGGTGTCAGGCTACGGAAAATAAAACTAAAACTCCATGTAGAGTGGTAAGTAAAAAGGGAACTGGAATATAGGTTGTTAAAGCGTAATTGTCTATTTCTTAAATTTTCCTTTCAGAGAGACACATCTCAATTCAAAGGCAGCTTGCTGATCTAGAGAAGTTAGCTTTTGAATCTGAAGATTTTGCCTCTGCTAGTTCATTGAACTCAGATAAACTTGATGCAGGTATTTCCATGTTGGGTTTTTTTTCCCTTTAATTTCTAATGGTTTGTCACCTTTCAACTCATGAAAAGTTTGCTAGGAATAGACTTGTATATTCTATTGAGGTAGAGGGGTAATACCGATAAATAATTTTTATGCAGGAAACTGATAATCATCTATTTGCAAAGGTGCTATGGGAATTAGTTATTTCACAACTCCTCAAGGAAATCACTATCTCATGGATAGATAAGGATATATGTATTCTCTGAGTTAAAAATTGCATTTGGCTATGAATAAGAGAAATTCCAAAAAAAACACCAAACATTGCATTAAATAATACGGAGGCTTCTAGTCTCTCATGTAAAATAAGTACCAAGGTAGGCAGCTCAGGGCTGGGACGAGAGTTCTCCAACACTGTCCATGCCCCACGCTGCTCTCCTGATTTGCCATCCTTTGTGCTTGGATTCCATCCTTAAGGTCACCTCGTGGGTTTTTGAAGTAGAATGACTTTTTCTTTAACCCTCATCCGAGGATATGTTTATTAAGTTTAGTGAGAGAGGAAAGGAGTGAGAGAAACATTGATATGAGAGAACCATCAATGGTTTGTTTCCCATACACCCCACAACTGGGGATCAAACCCACAACGTAGGAATATGCTCTGACCCAGGAATAGAACCTGCAACTTTTTGGTGTATGGGGTGATGCTCCAACCAACCGAGCCACCCAGCCAAGGTGAAGTAGGCTGAGTAGTAAAATAAATTGTGTCTGTACTTGCAGTGTGCTATATAGGAAAGGTATTTCTTGGACTAAAGTTTATTAAGTGAGTTGATTATTTCTATATATTTGTATTGGCTTTAAATCTGAATTTAAACTTTTAATTCTTTTGTACCCTATCAAAGTTTTTATTTGTGATACATTTCTGATTAAATAAGACTATTTTGATGACCCAGAATCTTTTCAAGAATATGCAAATAAAGGAAGACTTTACAAACTCAGTAATAGGATACAGTGTTTGTAATCATGCCTCCAGTCTCAGAATAACAATTAATTATTAAGTTCCTTCTACTGCTTTGGGTTTCTTCTTCCACTCTTCTAACTCCACATATTTATTGTCAGAGTACTTATGCTCTCTGCCTAACTCCTGTCCCTCTTGGGAATGTGACAACTGCTGCCTTTTCCCCTGTCCAAAGTACAGAGTCACTCGCTGCCAGGCATTTTGGCTGAAGGGATATATTAGATTATCACTTCCTCGTCCTTTCTGTTCCCAGTGGCAACAAGGATAGCAGCTAGCCTCTGAGCGGGTAGCTTTAGGGTAAAAAGCACTGCCCCTGTGCTAAAAAACAATTACTTTCAATTACCTGCTGAGACAGGGTCTGACTTCCTAAAGTTAGAGAAGACATCTAAGAAGAGGAGTGGGGAGGGAACCCCTTGTTACTTTTTTTATTGCTGAATCTAGCACTAATAGCTAGTATAGTCTGTGCTTCATTGGTTCTTTTTTCTTTATCAGGAAACAAACAAGCTTGTCCATTGTGCCCTAAGGAAAAATTCAGAGCTTGTAATAGCCACAAGCTCCGTAGGCACCTTCAAAATTTACACTGGAAAGTCTCAGTTGAATTCGAAGGTTAGTATTTTTGTGCTTGCTAAAAAGTGCTGCAAATGAAATTCAAAATTTGATATAAGTTTTGGAATTTAATTGTGAACTTAATGAAGTATTTTAAGTTTAAAACTATGAGGTATTCATACCCCTCTTTTAATGTGTTGATTACTATTGCTCTCTAGGCAATATAAGGCACAATAGTTTAGTTTGGCAAACGTTTATTAAACATCTGTTTGGTCCTGCCTACTCTGCTTGGCCCTGGGGGCTCACATTTTGAACAGTGTCATAAATGAAGAGTCTGTAATAGCAAGTGTAACAAGGCAAAGAAGATGAAGCCTAAGGAAAAGTCAAGATGGCAGTGAATAGACGATAAAATTGAGTTCTAAAGAAGCTCAGTGGCTAATCCAAGATAACTCAAGATGGTCTTGGCAAAACCAGTATTCAAACCTGGATTTCCTATATTTGTTTTTATACTATACCATATATAACAGGTAAATTAAGGCAATCTCATTTAAATAAATTATGACATTACAAATAATTATCCCAGTTATTCTTATGAAGTTTGCTAATAATTTTTAATGAAAATTGAGTATTTAATAAGCAGCGATATGATGACCAACCATTCTTTATTGTAGGCTATAGAATGTGCATCTGTCACTTAGCTTGTCGACCGGTGAAACCAAATATTATTGGAGAACAGGTAATCAGATGTTAAATTTATTTTTAAATTTAGACCTCTTTAAAGAAAGTGCAGTTTTTACTTACTTTAAAATGTTCATATTCAGCAATGAGGTGTACTTTAAGATTTTGTAACTGAGTGCTTTCAGATTATCATATTAAGAAAATATGAAATGCATGAAAAAAAGAGTTGATGTATTGAATTGTTTTTATAATTTTCATTTCTGTCAGATAAATTGCTGTCTGTGTTCAAAAGTAAAATTAACTTATTCACTAATTTTAGAATGGAGAATTTAAATAGAAAGTAATTTCTTCCTTTAAAATATATTTTGATCATGGAGGGAAAGCCTTCAATTTCTGATTTAGTAAGTATCTTGGTATGTGTTGATTCATTCTCATCATTAAACCGAAGACACACTAAGATATGTAAATTTGCAAACTTAAACTTCTATTTCATTGCCTTAGTAACTTATTTAAAAACTTTTTGACAGATATCCAGTAAAATGGGTGCCCATTATCATTGTATCATTTGTTCAGCAACAATCACCAGAAGGACTGATATGCTAGGACATGTTAGGCGCCATATGAATAAAGGGGAGACTAAATCCAGGTATATTGCTGGTAAGTTGAGCAATCTCACTAACACATTAATAAGTAAATCCTTAAACAATGGTCCAGTTATTCTTTTTAGACATCAGGGAGATAAAGGGAGTGAGTTAACTAAGTCACTTAGTTAATTACTACTTCATTACTTCAGGTTTTCTTTTCTTTCTGTGAGGCTCCCTGAGGGGGGCATCCTGCGCAGAGTCCCCCGGGTTGCCGCAGATGAAGGAAGAAAATAAAATAAGCCATTCCAGACACTTCTAGGTCTGCCAGGAAAAGAGGGTGGTGATTCTCTCTCATGGAGAATGCCTGGAGTCCTTTTCTTGAAATGGCTTTTATTGAGAACATATGCGCAGGGGTATACAGCATGGATGCAAAGCTCATCAGTCAATGTCAAAAGGCTATGTTTACAGAAAACAAATAGAGATCACAAGTAACAACTGAAGGAACACAGAGATTTGCCTCAGGTCAGGGTCTGGTAGACAGGGTGGCGTCCATTCGGCCTGAAACCTGGGAAACATCACATTCTATGCTCAACCCCAAACATCAGTACTCATAACTTGAGGGCTTTCTTAGCAAAGTAAGTTTCATAGGATTTAATGCATTCCTTTCCCAGGCCCAATTTCCCCCCCCCCGACCCCCCTGCGGGGGAACAGCCCAATCCAGTTTAGGGTTGTACTTGCCTCTAGTGTTGTTTCAAGCCTGAGCCAGATGGGTGGAATAGAGCAGCCAAGAGATAAGGAGACTTCTTTCAGGTAGAATGAGGACTCCAGCCATAGAATGAGGACTCCAGCCATGACAAAGCCAGGGGGTGAAGGTCTTTTGCCCCTTCTCCATGTCCCCCAAGTCCTTCCCTGATGGCCCCTATGTGACTGTGCCTGTCTTAGGTTGCCCCTGCCATCGAGGGGTCTTACCCATCATTGACTAACCAGCCATCCTCCAAGGCCAAGCAGGGTGATGTTAGGGAGGCAGGGGCTGCGCCCCTGCCAGGGGGACAGGTTTTGTCTCCTCAGTGGCCTATTTTCCCAGGTTCCCCTTGCTCAGCTCCAGCCATGGGGCCCTCTCGCCTGTCAGCAAAGCTATGGTCCCTGAAACCAGGTGGGACAGTTCCCAACAGCTCCCAACAACATTTCTTTGTCCTAAGTTAACAGATATATTCAATAAGTGATGTATTCAATACGTGGGTAGAAAAAAGCAACTGATGTTCAAGTAAATATAGGTATCGTAATCAAAGATTATAGGGTCGTATTACTAATGATGGCTCCTGTACAAATAACTGTGTTATACTTATTGTTGAAACACACTAGAAAGAGGAGGAAAAATGACATAAAGACCATTGATTATCCAGAGTGGAATCAAGTTATTGGTAGTCATTACTGAGGCAGCCCTTCTTAAGAATTAAGCCCTCATGACCTACCGCATCAACTGTATATAATGAATTAATTTTTTTTCTATCCATCTAGAATGGTACTACATTCCTTTCTTTTAAGAATTCAAAAAAGTCACTGAAATAATTTTCTATAGAGCTTAATTTTCTCACAGAATCTGGTTTGAGAAGGGCTGACCTTGTGAGGTATATGATCTTGTGAGATATGTGATCTTGCTATGCCACTTTGGTGGGCATAAAAGAAAGAGTATATACACAGCACTAGGAAAAGTTACTATTATTTGGCCTAGTGACAAAGAGAAATATGGTTGCCATTTGGTTAACATTCTGATAGTGATATCATCTCAGTTATTTTTCCCCACACGTTATATATGTCTCATTTCTTAAATATGCAAAACATACATACATAAATACATCAGTATGGCATTTGGGCTTAGAGCTAAATGATTCTAATGTATATTAAATGTAGAATCTTTTTTCCCATTACTTCATATCTGTTTGAATATAATTTGTGATTTAAATCATAATTATGAGAAAGTGTTTTGAAATCTAACAAGTTCAGGAAAAATAGTGGTTCATCATCATCTATGCTGGCTAATGAAGTGTAATCATACAGAGATACTACTTTTCTAACCATTATCCTATAATAACACATATTTAGCAGACAACCTATATAAACATAATACAGTGTTCAATGAGCAATAAAGGTATTTTAGGATTCTGCACTAACTTAGGTTGTTTGTTCTTTTTCTGCTTTTGTCTGTCTTCAGGTTGATTGTCCTTAACTAGGTATCATGTATGGATGTACTGACATGCTAGGCAGTTATGATTTTAAATGATGAACTTTAATTCACTAAGTACTTTTTCCAGAGACAGTGCTGAATAGATCAGTTTTTAACACCTACACAACTAACTACATTAACGCATTATTATAAAGGAAAGTAATTTTTTAAATGTGTATTGTTTTGGATATTTAAAATTATTTCTTATTTAACTGGAAATTTGTTTCCATCTTAGCTTCTGCTGCTAAACCACCTAATGAAATTTTGAAAGAGGCAGACACAGATGTACAAGTTGGTCCTAACTATTCCATACCTCAGAAAACAGATTCCTATTTTAACCCCAAAATGAAACTAAATCGGTAAGCTCAATTGAGAAAAGGGTGATGGGATGTTTTAAATCGTTACAAATGTACCCGTTCTTAATCTTTATGTTCTGTTGCAGCAGTTTTCAACCTGTGTGCCCTGACACACGGGTGGGCCACAGGAATGTTTCAAACACGCAACACCTGACTAGTTAGGCAGGACACTGACCTCTCTTCCCTTAGATGGTCAGATAAAAAAATGACAGCAGCCTGTACAACAATTGCCATCTGGTACGAGTGAATCAAAATCTTTTTTTTTTTTTTTTTTTTTTGGTCACGTTGGAAAAATATATTTTTTGACGTGCCACAGAATTTTAGTAATTAGGTTATGTGTGCCATGAGATGAAAAAGGTTAAAAATTGCTGTTCTCATGTATTGAAGTTTAAAACAAGGTCCAGAATGAAAATGATCTATTTTTAGTGTTTCCTCAGACCAATTTCTTCCTCAGAGAGTAAAGTAGACCTAACTTTATATAATTAATGAACAGTGCTTTTGTGGGCAGGTTTTATTTATAAAATTTGCTTATAAAATCATTAGTCATAATGAATGCTTATTAAGAGAACCCAATTAGATTCATAGTTTAATTTCACAAATTTCTAGTTCTTGTACTATTCAATAGTAATGTTATTAGGCCTGTTTTCAAATAGGAACACCACTTCTCACCGTTCTTTATTTTCCCTCACTATTCTTAAATAAAATCTATAATGATGAAGCCATGGTAGAGTAAAATTATTTCAGATTATTACACTTTCTTCTAGGCAGCTAATATTCTGTACTTTGGCTGCTCTGGCTGAGGAACGAAAACCTTTGGAGTGCCTAGATGCCTTTGGAGCCACTGGTAAGTAATGAAGCTTGTTTGGAACCCAACTTTATCACATTTATACTGTATTTTTTTCTTAGAAAATATATGTGGATATCATAGAACATTTTAATATATTAATGTAAAATTTTATTTTAATATAAAACATTGGAGATCCAAGGTAAATTTGTTTTTATTGTGGAAAAATTTCTAATATATAAAAAAGTGGAAATCATAATAAATGAATCCCTTTGTATCCTCACTCCACAAATTACCAGCTCATGCTCATGGGATATAACTATCCCATGTACGTATCTCAGACCTCATGTCCCCACCCTCCAACCCATCAGTTTGAAACAAATCACGGATAATGTCATCTCATCTGTCAACATTTCAGTTAGATCTCTAAAAGACAAGGACTTTGATACCAGTATTATACCTAAAAAAATTATGAACAATTCTTTAATATCCTTAAATGTTTAGATGTGTCCAACTATCCCAGTTTTCTTTTTACGAAATCAGAATCCAAAGACTCTCAGTTGTTTAATATGTCTACTGAGTCTTTTTTCTATCTACATTCCTATCATGTGTGGGAATTTGATAATTATTTGAGTGGCAGTCCTTGTCTTGCTCCTGTCTCAGAGGAAGAGCTTTCAACTTTTCTCCATTAGGCACGATGTTAACTGTGGAGTTATTCTAAATGGCCTTTGTTATGTTGATGTACATTCCCTCTATACTTGTTTTGTTAAGAGTTTTACCTTAAATGGATGGCAAATTTTGTGAAATGCTTTTTCTGCATCTAGTGAGGTGACCATGATATTTATCCTTTATTTGTAAACTGATTGTCCTTTATTTGTTAGCTGATTTTTGGATGTTGAACCAGCCTCACATCCTTGGAATAAATCCCACTTGATCATGGTGCATGATCCTTTTAACATATTGTTGAATTCATTTGGCTAATACTTTGTTGAGAATTTTTGCATCTATGTTCCTCAGGAATATTGGCCTATAATTTTCTCTCCTTGTGGTGTCTGTGTCTGATTTTGGCATCAGGGTAATGCTGGCTTCATAAAATGAATTGGGAACAGTTCCTTCCTGTTCTATTTTTTCTAAAAGTTTAAGGATTGGTATTAATTTTTTTTTGGAATGTTTGGTTGAATTCACCAATGAAGCTGTCTGGTCCTATACTTTTACTGGATTTTTTTTTACTGATTCAATTCCTTAACTAGTAACTGGTCTGTTCAGATTTCTGTTTCTTTCTGATTTAGTGTTGGTAGTTTGGGTGTTTCTAAAAATGTACTCATTTTTTCCTGGTTGTCTAATTTCTTTGGTATCAGTTATAACTTACCCTCTTTCATTTCTGACTTTGTTTCCTCTTTTTCCTTTTTAGTCTCTTTCTTTAGTTCTCTATTTTAGTTTTGCTCTTATCTTTCTTACATCTTTTTCTCTACTAACTCTGGGCTTTGTTCCTTTTTTAGTTCCTTAAAGTATAAAGTTAGGTTGAGACTTTTTTTTTTTTTTTTGGTTTCTTGAGGTAGGCATTTATCACTTAGAACTGCCTTTGTTGTATCCTCTAAATTTTGATACATGACATTTCCATTTTCATTTGTCTCAAGGTATTTTTTTATTTCTCTTCTGATTTTCTCTTTGACCCATTGGTTTTTTAGTAGCACATTGTTTAATCTACACATATTGGTGAATTGTCCACTTTTCTTCATACAATTTTCTGACTATTGTGGCCAGAAAAGTTTCTTGATATGATTTCAGTCCTCTTAAATTTATTAAGACTCATTTTGTAGCCTAAACTGTGATATATGTTGGAAACTGTTCTATTTACACTTGAGAAGAATAAGTATTCGGTTGCTTTTGGATAGACTGAAGTCCATCTGGTCTAGCGTGTCACTTTAGACCCATGTTTTCCTACTGATCATGTGTGTGGATGGTCTATCCATTGATACATTGAATATGTGGGGTATTACGATTTCCTATTATTGTATTGTTGTTTCTCCCTTTAGGTCTGTTAATATTTGCTCTCTCTATATATTTAGGTGATCCTATACTGTATGCATGAATGTTTACAAATGTTCTTTTTGTTGGATTGACTTCTTTATGATTATGTAATGCCCTTCTTTGTCCCCTATTACAGTCTTTGTTTTAAAGTCTATTTTGTCTGATAAAACTATGGCTGCTCCCATCTTTTTTTTTGGTTTCCATTTGCATGGAATATCTTTTTTTCATCCCTTCACTTTCAGTCTGTGTCTATCCTTATATCTAAAGTGAATCTCTAGTAGGCAGCATATAGATGGAGCTTGTTTTGCTTTTTTTATTCATTCAGCCACTCTGTGTCTTTTGATTGGAGAATTTAGTCCATTTACATTTAAAGTAATTATTGATAGACTTGTACTTACCACCATTTTAAAATTGTTTTCTAGTTATTTTCGTAGTTCCTCTTTGTTACTTTCATCATCTCTTGCTCTCTTCCTTTGTGGTTTGATGACTTTCTTTTGTGGCATGCTTATATTCCTTTATCTTCTGTATATTTACTATAGGATTTTGCTTTGTGGTTAGCAGTGAAGCTTTATCTGTGATAATCTATTTTAAATTAATAGCAACTCAAGTTTGATTCTATTGTAAAGCTCAACATTATTGCTGTTCCCCCAATCCAGTTTTTGTTTTTGATATTATATTTTACATCTTTTATCTTGTATAACACTTAACTAATTATTATAGTCATTCTTATAACTTTTGTCTTTTAGCCTTCATACTATATAAGTGATTAATCTACTATCTTTACTATACAATTACCTTTCCAGTGAGATTTAATTTTTCATGCGTGTTTTTGTTACTAGAGATATTGTTTAAACAGGAATCATAGAAAAGTTTTGTAAGAAATAGTAATGAAGTTCCAGAAACCTTTTTTTGTGTGATAACTTTTCTTCACAGGCTTTGTAGTGAGAAAGGAGAAAAGAATTACTTAGGGAAATATTAAAATGTTGAAACAATTTCTCTGTTATTTATAGAATCATATTCTATATTATGCTATTTTTATTTTTTAATTATTAAAATTTTTAAATTTTAAATTTAACAATTTAAAAACATTTTCCTTCCCATTTCTCCTAAGGGATAATGGGATTACAATGGGCAAAACATCTTGGAAATGCAGTGAAGGTTACAATTAATGACTTGAATGAAAACTCTGTGACCTTGATTCAGGAAAACTGCCATTTAAACAAGTTAAAAGTGGTAGTGGACAGTGAGGAGAAAGAAGAGAGGGATGAAATTCTTGAAGAAGGAGAGGAAAAGCTTGGTAACATTCAGGTGACCAAAATGGATGCCAATGTATTGATGCACTTGAGATCTTTCGATTTCATGTAAGTAGAAAAAACATGCTGTGTCACTTTCTAAACGGGCCTGGGTTTTTCTTGGGGAATGGGGAGAGTTAAAAATTAAAACAGTTTGTTGTTGTTTTTTATTTATCTCAGTTAATACAGTTTTTGTTGTCAGCATTGGCCTAAAGAACGCAGTAAGCATATTCCAGCGTTGGAAATGGAGTGCCCAGGCCTGACACTCTTCCTCTCAGCCTAATATTTGCATATGTAACATGTCATATAATCCTTTTATTACTTTTAAAGCAGAATTATCTATTTCAATAGGATTTGTACTTTTGAATTAATGGAATTTTATTGCTAGAAATAATATCAATTGTAGAATTTTGGTTACAAGTATGATTTTAAATCTATGTTCTCTCTGATCCTAGACACCTAGACCCTTTTGGAACATCGGTGAACTACCTTGATTCTGCATTCAGAAATATAAGAAACCTCGGCATAGTATCAGTGACTTCTACAGACATCAGTTCATTATATGCCAAAGCACAGCATGTTGCCCGGCGTCACTACGGCTGCAACATTGTCCGAACTGAATATTACAAGGAACTAGCAGCCAGAATCGTTGTGGCTGCACTGGCAAGGTACCAAATTGCCAACAGAGCACCTACTAATGTTTGGGTATATGATAGAAACAGATCCAAGAAGTGCTTGTCTAATTTTTTAAAATACGCACAAAATATAAATTCTGTATTCCATATCTGTAATCTTGATTTGTTTGGTAATCTTATACTGTATCTTTTAGAATTTGATTTGAAAGCTTGTGCCTAAAATAGTTCACTCTCCAATTAAAAATGTTATTAAAATAATGTAAGAAAAAATAAAAATGAAAGTTAATTTTAAATCAATTAGTTCAACAAGCTAGGTAGATGAGAGGATAGCATAATGAAAAGGAAAAGCAAAGATTGTCTTTAGATTTAGAAAGTCATTATTTTATGTTCATTTCATCTAATCTTCTTTATGTAAACAAATAATTTATAAAATGATGGCCTGCCCTGGCTAGATAGCTCAGTTGGTTAGAGCATCATCCCATTATGCCAAGATTTCGGGTTCAATCCCCAGTCAGGGCACATTACTAGAATCAACCAATGAATGCATAAATAAGTAGAACGACAAATCAATATTTCTCTCTCTCCGTCACTTCCTCTCTCTCTCTCTCTCTCTCTTGAAAATCAATAAATAATAAATACATATAAAATAAAGTAAAATGATGGCTTATTAACTTGATTCTGCAAAATGATCTTATATATTAAAAAAAGTTCTATCAGGATTTCTAAACAATTGAAGAAAGGAAGTTTGAGCCCCTTTTATTCAGATATTATGCTAGAAGCATAATATAATAATATAAATGGACATTGAAAGTACAGACAGTGGGTGATCAGCCAGCTCCCATAACGCTAGTCTCATAGCATTTAGATTGGATTTTCTACCTCAGCAGAAATAGATTATTAGACTTCAGAGACCTTAAGGGTTATTCCTAATTAATTGAAAACCCTGATGTGCAGTACATGCCAGGGATCTACTTAAAAATGCTTATAGAGGGGAAAGTCAAGGAACATATAGCAAGGACTCATGGACAAAACCAAAGGGGAAGAGTTGAGGGAGGGAGGGAAGGAGGGAAGGAGCAAGGGAAAGTGGTGGGGGGAAGGCAGAGACAAATGTATTTGAAAAAATAAACAAACTTAAAAAAATGCTTATAATACTAACAAATTCAAGTTCATGCATGTGAGTTAAGTTTAGTGTGGAAGAAGCTTTTTAAAAAACAGATAAAGAGGAAGAAAGGTGGTGGTGCTGTCGAGAAAGAAGGTGACATCGAAAGCCAGAGAACAGAGTCCTACTGAGAGGCTATCATGAGGGAAAGCGTCTCGTTCCTGAAGACCCTGGCCAAGCATCCTTCGTGCCCTGTGTCTCAATTTGTGCGAAAGTTATAGTAAAGATCTTTTAAAAGCACTGCTACTAAGAACTGAATTTTCCTTACTTTCCCTTTATCTACCCATAGTTTACTGTTCAGGCTAGTGTTGTCAGTATAACGTCAAACAAAAAAAAAATAAGCACACAAAATAAATTTTTTTTTTTGCAGAGCTGCAGCTCGATGTAACAAAGGCATAGAAGTACTGTTTGCAGTGGCTCTGGAACATTTTGTCTTGGTTGTTGTGAGAGTTTTGAGGGGGCCTACTTCTGCAGATGAAACAGCCAAAAAGATTCAATATCTTATCCATTGCCAGTGGTGTGAAGAGAGAATTTTTCAGAAGGATGGTAATATGGTAGAAGGTAATTCAAGTTTCTTTTGACTATGTATTGTGTTTATGTATAATCCTCCAATAAATAAACCTTTATCACATCCCTAACTATACATACTGTCCTTTGATTTTAAAGATGACAGTGCTAATTTTATTTCCCTTACTGGATTTCCTTTCATCAACAGAAAAGACACCCCTGTGAGTTTATGAAAGCTTTTGACTCGTGCTGTGCAGTTCACGCTCACTAGTCCTGCCCTCCGTCACCGAAACATCTTGAAATAACTTCATTTCCACTGTCACTAATTTTAGGAACATAAGTCAGATTACCTTTGTCTAGATTCTTTCAAATCATTAATTTTATAAAATAACTTTAATATTTCTGGCTGAATATACATCTGTCAGTTATAAAATTCATTCAATAGACATTTACTGAGCTTCTACTATATGCCAGGCCTGGAAACCAAGGGAAAAATGTGTTGCTTATGCCTTCATAAAGCTGTTTTTATTTTTGCTTTTCTAGGATATTGAAGCAGTTGCCCATTGTTTTGTTAGGTTCTTGGCATTTTTTAATATGGGTTTCTAAGAACTCTGTATATATTAGACTTTAAACCTTGTGATATGAGTTGCAAATAGTCTCATTTTGTCACTTGTGTTTACAGATCTATTTCTTTAATCTTTGATAGTTTTTCATTGTTGCCATTTGAAATTAAGAGAACTTTTATGTACTCTGGGTTTTATTTATAGTTAGTTAGAATAATCTTTCTATACAAAGTAGGTTACATTTTATTGAATAATCCACCTCTTTACCAGTGACTTGAGAATACCATCTCATTCTTGAAGTCCCATGTATTTGAGTTTGTTTCTGAATGTTCTGTTCTATTCCAGTGGTTTGATGGTTATTTACACATCTCTACCACACTCTTTTGCATACAGATTTTTAGTGTTAATAACTGTTAATGCAGTCCCTCCTCAAAGCTCTTATTTTCAGGCTCTGGCTGAGTATCTCAGTTAAAGTATCATCCCAATATGCCAAGGTTGAGGGTTCAATCCCCGGTCAGGACATATGCAAGAATCAACCAGTAGCCCTGGCTGATGACTCAGTGGATTGAGCGCCCACCTGTGAACCGAGAAGTCTCCATTTCAATTCCCAGTCAGCACATTCCTGCTTGTAGGCCAGTGCTCCAGATGAGGACATGCAAGATTTCTCTCTCTTTCTCCCTCCCTTCTCCTCTCTCTAAAAGCAAATAAAATCTTTAAAAAAAAAGTGAGTGCATAAATAAGTGAACAACAAATTAATGATTTTCCTGCTTTGTCTCTCTAAAATCAGTTTGTTTAATTCTATTTTCAGAGTGTTCCTGATACTGGGTCTTCTTTTTTAAATAGCAAAAAAAGTAAATAAATAGACCGTAATAAATAAAGGAGAACATTGTTTTGGTTTTGAAGCTTCCTAAGAACCTAGTATGCTTTCCATTTGTGCTTCTGCTGCAGTGTTGATAGTGGGGTTGGGGGCATCATGCCCTCTTCCTTCCTTAGCTTCCTTTGGTGCTGATTCTGGCGTGAGTCTGAGATACTCATCACTTACCGTGGTATCTTTCATTTCCTATTTTACTGTATTTTGTTTAGATGTTGAATTTTGCCGTGTTTTTTCAGCATTTGTGGAAATTATGTGGTATTTCTCCCTAGAGCTATTAATTTGATTAGTTATAATAAAATTTCCCAATATTGAACCATTCCAACCTTCTAGGATAAAACTTTTGTCAGGAAGTCTTCTCAATATAGATTCTATTTGCTAATGTTTTTAAGGATTTTTGTTTCAATACTTATTGCGTAGTTTTCCTTTTCAAAGTTGGGTTTTGGAATCAGTTTAAACTCCCTTCAAAAAGAATTTGGAACTTTCCCCCCTGTGTTTTCAATGCTTGGGAACAGTCCAACTAGCATCGTGTTCACTGAAGGTTTAGCACCATTAACCTAGCTTTTCTAATTACACAGAGTTGAGCCAGGCGGTGTCTAATGTTCCCTTTTAATTTCCTTGGTTTCTGTGGTTTTAGTGTCATTTTTTAAATTTTTAGTATTTGTCCTTTCTGCTTTTTTACTTGACTACATTAGATACTGGTTTATCTGTTCTATCGTTATTTGATATCTTAATGTTTACTTTTGTAGTAGTAAACATATTTCTGTAATTTGGATTTATTGGTTAAATAATATTTTGGCTTCTTGGTATCATATGAGGTAATCGGCCTCCCTAATCTTTGTTTATTATACCATTTGTGTTATTAGAATGTGTACCATTTATAGTTTTGCCAGTATAACCTATGTTAAATATGTTCAGTGTTCATCATCAGTCTTTGTGTTGTAATTCTCTAATCATCTCTTAGTTGGTTAAATGTAGTTTAGTCAAGAGAGTTCATGGAGAAAATACTTCTTGATTTCATGCATGTTCAGAGCTCACCATTTCATGGCCTTTGTACTGAAAGAGTTTAAAGAGTTTCTTCGAGTGCCTTGTAGAAGTTCTTCTAGTCTTGTGTTCCTGAATATTAATGTAATTTTCCTTCTTCCATGTGACATGATCATTTTAGATCATGATCACTCAGAGTTAATAATACTGAAAAGTAGACCTAGAAAAACAGTGACAGAGACCTTTTAAGTAAATCTAAAATAAGATCTCACGCTGTGTATTATGCCACTTAATTGCATTGAGTAATGGTGATGGATAGCAAGAAGCTATAGGCCAGTGTCCCTCCCACCACAGCCCTGGGTACATCTAGGACTGATTTCGTCAGATCTGGGCATTCTAAGAGATTACCATATTTTGCCATGTATAATGCGCCCCCATGTTTTTGTGCACATTATACATGGGATTATTATACACATGGTATGTAATCATTATACCCATGTACAAGGCACATCCTTATTTTTCCCTCAAAATTTGGGCAAAATAGAGCACATTATACATAGCACAATAGCAGATAACTGATCCACCCAGGAATGGCCTGGGGGAAATTAGCTGGATACCAAGTCTGATTTAAAGTGGCTATTCTGGACCTTCTGGAAACTAACCACCTCCCCAGTTTCCCAGTTCTGTCAGGCCTTACTGCTCTTTAAACCGAATGGGATGTCTCTAGCGTACATTTTGGGGACTGATTATGAATCAGGTCTAGGAAACAAAGTAATCTATTTTCTTCCAAATAGCGTAAGAGTTAATATATGAGAAGTATATTTCGATGGCATGGCAGTTACATGTGCATAGAGATTGTCAAAATTCATCAACCTTCTTATATAAGATGTGTACATCTTATTGTATATAAATTACATCCCAGTTATCTTAAAATATGGGTACCTGTGGACTTTATAAGATTTTCTCCTGCTTAAATTGTTTACATGTAGTAACTAAACGTTAGTAAAGGCCTCTTATAAGCTGTTTGACATGGATTTCTATAATCCTCCTCCAGCTTTAATCCTCTGGTCTGCATAATTGAAATTTTATAAAAATACTTAGCATAGTACCTGGCACATAGTAGATTCTCAATATATAGACGCTGCAAATTATTATTAATATAACAGTTACTGCTATGCACACTGTCAGGTCTGCTTTGATTTCTCTCCTTTCACAGAAAACCCATACAGACAGCTGCCCTGTAACTGTCACGGGAGCATGCCTGGAAAGACAGCGATAGAACTTGGGCCTCTATGGTAGGTGTGCCGAAGCCTAACAGTATATTCAGAATTGATTTATGCATTGGTTTGGTTGCTGACTTTAGATGATTTTTAACATTGTATTTTATACCTTGGTGTATCCTCCACACCTCTGTGTAACACAGGGCTCTGCATCTAATGCGGGTTCAATAACTTCTTGTTAACTGTGAATGAAATTACCTTGACCAGCCCTGGCTGGTGTGACTCAGTAGATTGAAGCACTGGCCTGCACACCGAAAGGTCAAGGGTTCAGTTCCCAACCAGGGCGCATGCCTGGGTCACAGGCCAATGTTTCTTTCCCTCTCTTTCTCCCTCCCTTCCCCTCTCTAAAAATAAATAAATAGCATCTTTAAAAAAAAGAAAGAAATTTCCTTGACTAATCTCACTAGTTTAAAGAACTGACAGGATAAAAAGGAATGGAGAAATAATAATTTTAAATTAAATCATGAATTTTTAATTTCAGTACTTTATCATATAATTAATTATATATCTTAGTTGTGGTTAAATTATGGAAACTTATTTTTTACGATACTGAACATGTCTTCCAAACCCAAGTCTCTATATTTTCTTGGGTATTTTTGTTTTGTTTTTAGGTCAAGTTCCCTCTTCAATACTGGATTTCTAAAAAGAATGCTCTTTGAATCTCTTCACCATGGTTTAGATGACATTCAGCCCCTAATCAAGACATTAATCTTTGAGTCAGAGTGTACTCCTCAAAGTCAGTTTTCAGTTCATTCACCTTCAAATCTCAACAAGCAAGGTACCTAATTTGAATGGTTTACTAGTTTACGATTGATTGACAAAATACTTTACTTGATGTTTTAATCAAAAGCAGTATGAGTATTGTGCTTTAAATCCCCCCTGAGTGCATAATCTGGTTATTAATTTTTATTTTTAATTGCATAATTTTTTTCAGGTTTATATTTAGGGCCTGAAATAATTTTATTAAGATAAAAGCATATATATATTTTTTAATTTTAATAGATTAAAAGTACTAAAAGTTAGTCGTGGTTTTATTACCCTATATCTGCTTTCTTGAAAGAGAACCGTTACGAAATTCTGAGAGTAGAGTCGCCAGAATTTTTGGTAATATCCACTGAGACACAGAAACTAAGATTTACACTTACCACTCACTAAAACCAAGGGGTTTTTTTGTTTGTTTTTCTCTTTTGTAGTTTTTGTCTGGCCACTGACCTAAGGGTGAGCCTTTTAGACATCCTAGCATTTCTCCTTAGTCATTGTAAGCAGCAACTGTTGTAGAGTTAACAATGTAATTCTTGCCCTGTTTTGCCACAGAATCTATCAAATATTCATAAAAGCAGTGTGGATGTAATTTAGTGAGCTTTTATTTAAACTTTGAATTGTTAGTTAATAGCATTCTATAAAATATTTTTCATTTGTTTTCATTTTAGAAGAATGTGGTGTATTTATTAAAACTACAGATGATACCACAACAGATAATTACATTGCACAAGGTATGTAGGTATATGTGTGCGTATATGTACATATGTACGTATCAGTGCAAGAAGGCAGATAGCAAAACAGTAGGAATTTCCTTGGTAGCCTATTTCAAATGGCATTTTTATCATTATACTGACCACATAATTATTGTAAAATTTGTTTATCTGGAATTTGCACAGTTCAAAATTTCTATTTATATGTACTCTATTCACATTTTTAGTATACGATAACCCTTTTGAAAGAACTATAAAATCTTGAAGAACCATGTGAACCAAAATAAGCTCAAATTCTATGAGTTAAAATTAAATTTTATTATTTTAAACTTCCCATCAACACATGATATATAGCAATTCCATAGATTAACCAGAAAACCTATTCTCTAGCCATAAGAATTTATTATATGGCCTTTCTTACAGTTTGAGATTTTAAAACATGACTGTATTAGGCATTGCAAATTCACAGTAAAAGGCTTTTAAGATTTATAATGTCAGTGCGTTAATGTCTGTGGTTTTGTTTCTTAAGAGACAGCTTTGGATTCTAAATGTGTCTCAAATACAGGTAAAAGGAAGAACACAGTGTTAAGGCTGAAAGAGCAGAGGATTATAATTACAAGCTCTAATCTTGTATTAGTTGGTCAACACTTAATGTTGCTTTTCAAAGACAAGAAAACTTCAACTCCTATTAATAGCGTGTGGTGTAATAACTGCTATATGCTCTAACAGTCATGTTCATTTGGCATCTTCAGCTAATATGCTAACATTGAATCACTTTAAAACCATTTATCCTACTTAATTTCTCTGTCAGAGGTTAAGAAAAAGGCAGTATGGTATACTGTAATGGGCATTAGATTTAAGAGTAATCATTCTACTTCTCTGTGGTGTTTGTTGCGTAACCTGGGCCAGGTTTAAGATCCACTGAAGACTAACTATTTGTCAAATGTTGGCATTCAGTAGAGAGTACAGCTATACAAATGGAAGGACCTTATCCCCAGGAATTTAGAATATAATCTGGGAAGAAAAGATTTACATACATTAAAGACCTACATACATCAAACAATAAAAGAAAAAATGACAAAACTTAACAGAGTAGTATAGCATTGACAGTAATGAAGTCTGTCAGGTGATTGGCCCAGAATTCATCGATAGCTTTATGAAAATAGTTATGACTTGAGATTGAAGAAGGTAGAAAGTTAAGTTCTGACTCAGCAAATAATACTAAAATTGCATCAATAAAGCATAGTGAAAACAGGAATATCTTATTCTTACAATGAGGTCTCTAAGAATTAAGATTGGATAGGTTGAAATGGTGTGTTGGAGGACTTATACTGGAGATAGCATATAGTTATGAAAGTACTTGGGCCCTGGCTGGTGTGGCTCTGTGGATTGAGCACCCGACTGTGAACCAAAGGGTCACCAGTTCGATTCCCAGTCAGGGCACATGCCTGGGTTGTGGGCGAGATCTCCAATAGGGGCTGTTGAAGAGGCAATCACACATTGATGTTTCTTTCCCTCCTTTCTCCCTCCCTACCCCACTCTAAATTAAAACCTTTTTAAAAATAAGATATTTTTAAAAATACTTGGGTTTGCAATTTTTAAGATAATGCTAACTTTGTGTGTGTGTGTTTCAGGAAAAAGAAAAGGTAGTGAAACAATCACTAATTTATCCAAGAAGCAAAAGACTGATGTCAGTACTGAACATCCTCCCTTTTATTACAACATCCACAGACACAGCATTAAAGGGATGAATATGCCGAAGTAAGAGAGCCAGTGAATGGCAACATGTATATTTTGTATTTTAATGACATTGTGACTTAAATAAAAATACCTTTTTTTTTTTTTTCTTTCCTTGCTACAGGTTAAAAAAGTTTCTGTGCTATCTTTCTCAAGCAGGCTTTCGAGTAAGCCGAACTCATTTTGACCCCATGGGTGTTCGTACAGATGCACCTTTAATGCAGTTTAAGTCTATCCTCTTGAAGTACAGCACCCCCACCTACACCGGAGGACAGTCAGAGGGCCATGTCCAGTCAGCATCAGAGGATACAGTCGCTGACAGGGTGGAACCGGCAGTGAATGACAAAGCAGAAGCCAGCAGCTGCAGAAGATGGTAAACGTAGAGAAGAGTTTCTTCCCAGATGTCTGTATGGCTGGCCTAAGAGTTCTCTACACCAACTGTAGTTCTTTTTTTATTCTTTCAAGTCAGTGGTGTAAAACTAAAATAAAAACGTGTTTTCATTCAGAAAATTAGCAGTTTCTCACTTAACTGGTTTGGGAGCTATTTTTTGCCAAGTTTTTCTTATTTTAAAGAAAACTTAAAATTGTAATGAAAACATTTCATGTGAAGCCAAGTTTATGACTGAGATCATACGGTTTAATAACTCAGAAAATTTTCACATGTACCGTGTTTGGAATTTTACAGATGTTGTGGAAGCCATTATTGACTATTCATAATGACAAGTCTGCTTACACTGACACTGAATAGAATAGGAAGAACAATGTCCTTTCAGGTCACTAATATACTTCACAATTAAAAAGTTAAAATACGTTCCTGATTTTAAGAAACCATACTTCTACCCACACTGATCTTTTAATTCTCAAAAGCTAGAACTGGGTGATCTCAGGCACCTCAGTTAATACACATACAATATTTACCTGTTTGGTTGCCACCTCATGAACTTAGGAAGATTTTTTTTGTTTGGGGGATTTTTTTTTTTTTTAATTTTAGTGTGTAGGGTCTGTCTGTTTTGGGGGTTTGTATGTGCTAATTTTTTTGTACATGTAGCCCAGGCTACCATAGTTAGGAAAATTGAAACAAAAATCGTGTTTTCATCAGTGAAAACTATTCCTGCTTCAGTTGAGTGTAAGTTTCAATGAAAGGATTTAGTATAAAGTTTAGATTTCTGTCTCAAGGATTTAATCTATATTTACCCTGAAGTATTTGTTAGAGGAACTTTACAAGAATTAAGCTTAGGAGATGGAAGGGGGGTTATAACTGAAGGTTTTAAATACGCTGCATAAGAAAAAGCACTCCAATGACATAAAAACCCAGGAAGGGTCACTTACATCAACATAAGTTATTAATTTAGAAGAGGTAAAAAAAAAAATCTTTGTATTATTACAGCATAGTCCTAGGATGAATTTCTTCAATTAATGGAATCATCCATTTTGTAAAATAAAGGAATATGTGAAGTGCAAGTTCATTTCTATTATGACCATAATAAACTATAATTCTTGCCAATTAAAATTGAACTCACAAATGAATACGAAAGCAAGTTACTTTGTATAGTTAAAAATTACTGTAAATACAAAGGCAAACCAGTACTTGGACCACCTGATTTAGTATATGTTGAATATCAGTCTCAAATTTTGCTAAATGCTTATCAGCATGACATATTTTGATCAATGACAATGTTTAGCTTTATGCCAGGAACCTAATTTGATATATAGAAATTACTGTTATTTAAAATGTTTATCTGTATTAACTAAATACAGGCAGAAAGTTTGAAGAAAGCTTGGAAGGAAGTAGTTTGGAACTGTAGTACTATATCAACCTAATGAGGAAATACTTTTAAAATTACAACTAATTCGCCCTGGCTGGAGTGGCTCAGTGGATTGAGTGCTGGCCTGCAAACAAAAAGGTCGCTGGTTCGATTCCCAGTCGGGGAACATGCCTGGGTTGCTGGTCAAGTCCCCAACTGGGGGCAGGTGAAAGGCAACTGATCGTGTTTCTCTCACACACTGATATTTCCCTCCCTTCCCCTCTCAAAAAATAAAATCTTTAAAAAAATAAAATTCATCCAATTCTACAGTAGCACCTTGTTTGCGTAACAACAGTAACTTGGAACATGAAATCAGCTGAATCTCTCCATTAAAATTTGGTAAGCACAAGAAACCAGTTCTTCAGGAAACAGTGTGTTGACTCTGCCAGTTGCTTGTGTTAATACTCTAACCATACACTCGGGGCATGGGAGAAGTAACCCAAAAGGGTTTAGGGGCCAGCCGAGGTGGATTGGGTTAAAACTCCATTTATCGCTTCATGTCCTGGTTTGCAGAAATCAGACAAAAACTGGTTCAGTAATTTCAAAAAATTTAGTAATTTCTTTCCTCAGTGCAAAATAATTGATCTGGGAAGTGGCCACAGGTTACTTTGGAGACGGCTAAGGAATATACAAAATAAAAATGTGATGTTATGGCAGGGCCCTTTCTCCAAGGGCTCTGGGAATGGGAAGTAGATGAGGCCTGGGAAATGGATAAGGGACCTTGACTACTATAGTGGCTCCAGTCAGGCCCATAATCTTCAGTCACGTAAGCAGTCCAATAGGACCACTTGGATCCCATGATGAATTAGCCAAGGCCCAGACATCCTGTCAGACTGCATTACCAAGCTTTTCAGAGTGCTAGTTCTCTTCTCACCAGTCTATGTCTCAATGCCTTGGCAACGAGGGTCCATCAGGCTCTCCCAGGCTCTCCCAAGGGATGTAGAGATGGTGGGTGAGCAGACCACACGTATGAAGTCCTGTCCAACATCGCCCATTTAGATGAGGCACTGCTGAGTCGAAATTCTAGCCAAGTGAACAGCAGCAGGCCCAAGCTGCTCAAGCTCATGGAGACTGGCTCATATCGGTCATTTGACCCAATTTAAAATCATGTTCCTTCAAGATCTAACCTCCACAAATCATTATATAGGATCAGAAAAAGCATTCTTTCAGGAGGCACTTTGTCCCCAGAACATGCTGGGATCTGACTTTATGTCCCGAAGACAAGAAAGGATTGCAGCGATGAAGCAGATGGGCTGCTTTTTCAAGGTAATTAACTCCCTGAAAGGGTCATCCACCAAAGCAGCAAACATCTAAGGAGTCTCTACCATTCTAAGTGAAGCTCAGTGGAGTCAGCAGTTTAGGATACTGATTGATTCAATCTTTCCAAAACCCATACTCCACTTCTCAAGAATGCCACTCTCCTGACTAGCGTCTAAGAAACCCAGAAAGACAGCAAATTCAGCCAATTTACAGGATCAAGCTCTTCCCCTTAGCTATTTCAACCTTAAAGCTATACAGGGGCTGGAAAAGTGAACATCTCACAGTCTTAGTCTCCATACAATGAATAATGACTCTCCCTTATTACGGGAGGCAATTGACAAAGACCAGGAGGTTACAAAGGCCAAACATCTATAAAAAGAAAGCCAATGTCTACATTTGTCTACAATGCCTTACCACCTGTGGCTGTTCGATCGCTTTCTCTGCTGCCACCCTTTCCCCACTCTGCAAGGACCTATGTTACCTCTAGGCCAAGGGTCCTTCCACAGTTTTGGGGGTGGGGCGGGTGTTAAAACTATTAACTAAAGTGTGAATAGATTGTAAACATTATTCCCCAAATGCAAGCTTCTTCCACCTAGTTTCTGCAATTGATGTGGACTGCACAGAATTTGAGATCACACAGGCGAGAGAATGAAACTTCCCAAGTAAATCAATTTCCTAGGAACTAGTATATTAATTGTGGGAGCTTATATTTACATGAGATTTAGCTCCACAGTGTTCCCTTTACATAGATTACACCATATATAGCACAAATAAGATTATCCAATGCTATTCTTTTTAAAATTTTTTCCCTGTATTTTAAATTTATAAATCATGTTTATTCTATTACAGTTGTCTCAATTTTTTCCCCTTTACCCCCCTCCACCCATCCCACCCCAATCCCCCACTCCCACAGTCAATTCCTACTCTATTGTCTATGACCACGGGTCATTCATACATGTTCTTTGCCTAGTCCCTCCCCCTTCTTTTCACCATTGTCCTCTTTCCCCATCCCCTCTGGTCACTTTCAGTCTGCTCCATGTTTCCATGCCTATGGTTTATTTTGTTCATTAGCTTATTTTGTTGAATAGAGTCCACTTATAGGTGAGATCATATGGTATTTATTTGTCTTTCATCTACTGGCTTATTTCACTTAGCTTAATATTCTCCAGTTCCATCCATGTTGTCACAAAAGGAAGGAGTTCCAGCTTTCTCTTTCCTTCCTTCCTTTTCTTTCTTAACTTTCTTAAATGCAGACTAATTTTACTTTTTTAAATGTCAAAATTATAAAATATTAAAAACTTTAAAACCATTAAAAAGTCTCAGCAATTAAACCAACATGACACCAGCACAGAAATAATCAAGTAGATCAATGAAATATGAGCATTCTAGAGACAAATGTATGTATCTAACAATGTAATATATGATTGGTATTTCAAATCAATGGGGAAAATAAGGCTTATTCAACAAATAAGGGACATGGACCACTATTACTTGAAATAAAACAAATACGAAGCCCTATTTCACACATTATACAAGAAATATTCAGGTGAGTTCAAAATTAATATGTAAATTCTAAGGAGTTTTAGGAGAAAATATAAACTAATATTTTTCTACCCTGAAGTAAAATACTCAAACCCAGAAGCTATTAGGTAAAATATTGACAATATGACTATATTAAACATTTAAGACTATTCAGTAATATACATATAAGAAAGTTAAAGGACAAGTCATAGAATAGGAAAGTATTTGCATCACATCTATAAAAGGGTTAATGGTTTGTTTTCTTAGGGAATAAATTCAACAAACATTTAATAAAAAAAGTGGATAAATAGCAAAAAGGCATTTAAAGCTTTTTAAAAATAGAAATAGGCAAAAGTATACAAAAACAGGTTTAGTTTCAACAAATAATAAAGGAACAATTAAAATAACACATCATTGTCACAATCAGATTAATATGTATTAAAAAATATTGGTAATAGCAAGTACTGGCAACTGTTGAAGGAACTGGGTATTCATAGACTTTTTCTTCATCTTAAAGCAGTCCCTTCAGCATATTTTGCAGTGCTGGTTTGGTGGAAGTGTATTCTTTTAGCCTTCTTTTGGAAGGCTAAAACTTCCTTATTTTGCCTTCCATTTTAATTGAGAGCCTTGCTGGGTAGAGCAGTCTTGGTTGCAGGTCTCTGCCTTTCATTCCTTGGACTATTTCTTGCCATTCCCTTCTGGCTTGCAGTGTTTCTGTTGAGAAGTCAGATGCTAGCTGTATTGGGGCTCCCTTATATGTTACTACCTGTTTCTCCCTTGCTGCCTTTAGGATTCCATTTGTCTTTGATATTTGCCATTTTAATAATGATGTGTCTTGGAGTGGACCTAATTCACTTCCTCTTGAGTGGGACCGTCAGTGCTTCCTGGACTTGTGTGACTTTTTCTCTCCTCCCATGAGTTAAGTTTTCCATCATTACCTTTTCAAACAGGCTCTCTATCCCTACATCATCCTCTTCTCCTTCTAGTATCCCTGTTATACAGATATGATTACATTTC